GGCAAGGAACACTGGGCGCGGATGGTCGTGGTTAAGGTCCGGCAGGGAACACTGGGCGTAGATGGTCGTGGTTAAGGTCCGGTACGGAACACTGTAGATCGCGGGTCGCAGTTAAGCAAGGACGACGAGGATGACAAGGAGGAGGAAAACGAGGCAGGAGGAGGCGGAGGAGGAGGAGGAGCAGGAGGAGGAGGAGCAGGAGGAGCAGGAGGAGGACGAGGCAACTAACATAAAATCTAATAACCCTTACCTGGCAAGTAGGGAAAAATAAAATTAATATTTCAAAGTGCCAAAGTATTATGCCTACCATGCCAACAACCGCAGCAAACACCCCGCCCATACGCGCCACCGGAGCTAATCCAATACCACATCCATCATACCTGCCATACAAAATACAGGTCGATTAACTACCACGTCTAGCAGGTAAAGTAAAAGTAAATAAGTAAGTTATATATAGATAAGTTATATAATAATAAATTATAAGGAAAAATTATATAAGGACAAAAACGGAGTCAGCCCAATACCATATCTGCCATACCTATCATACAAAGTAAAAACGATACCACCAAGTATCATGCCTACCACGGGAAAAAAAAAAAAAAAATCTCAAAGTGCCAAAATACCACGCCTACCACGCCAATAGCCGCGGCAGCCACCCCGGACACTCCGGCCCAAGCGCGCCACCGGAGCCAGCCCAATGCCATATCTACCACGCCTGCCACACAAACTGAAGATCGATGCCACCAAGTACCACGCCTGCCACGGAAAAAGCAAGGTTGATGTTTGAAAATGCCACGCCTGCCACGCCAACAGACGCGGCAGCCACTCCGGCCCAAGCGCGCCACCGGAACCAGCCCAATGCCATACGTGCCACGCCTGTCACACAAAGTGAAGATCGATATGTGAGGTTGTTGTTGTGTGTGAGCAAATTCTGTAATTGCTGTGTATGAGCAAGTTGTGTGATGACAAGTCGACAAGGTTTGGGAGTAGAGCAGTTGTGTGATGACAAGTCGACAAGGTCTGTGAGTAGAGTTGTGTGTGAGCAAGTTGTATGATGACAAGTTGTGTGAATAAGTAATAGTGGGAGTAGAGTTGTGTGAGTAGAGTTGTGTGTGAGTTGAATTGTCTGTAAGTAAGTTGTGTGTGGACAAGTTCCGTGTGAGCAAGTTCTGTATGGACAAGTTGTGTGGGGACAAGAAACAAGAAGCCCACACAAAAATGTAGGGAAAAAAATTAGATCAGGGTCTGATTTCCAATAAATATCAATTTCACATGGCACCTGTTAACGCATCTTAACTCTTTCATCCTTCAAAACTTTAAACAATATCATGACAATTTGCAAGGGCGCATGCTTGGCGAGCGCTTTCATTTTGCCAACCCCGTCAATGCCACCATGTCTACCACCGAAAACAGACTGCGCGGGGCATGGCCTTTTTCTTTTGCTTCGAAAACTCGTTTCACGACCAAGCCGCTTGCTGTTGTGGATTCAATAATCCTTGGTTCGGAAAAACTGGCAGAAAAGAAAGTTGCAAGGCTCGCCTGCACATGGCTGTTTTGAGGCAGCAACATTTGCGGGCCTTTCAAAAATCGACGGTTCACCGGCAGCTCTTTGAGAGTGTCCGCCCACCTGGAAACGTTTCTTCTGCGGCATGTGCTCCGAATTCTTCTTGCGGCAGGCGTCGGCCCACCTCGACTTCACTTCTAAAGCGTTGCCCCTCCAGCAAGGCACAACCTTGACCATTTTGCCGTCCATAGGGTCGACCTGCAACAAGCACCAACTCTTCGAACAAGAAGCGCATTATTGCGCCAAAAAACTGGCTGAGGTCTTGGCTGACTCTTGCTCTACTCCATTGATGACTATGGTCCTGCAAATGTATACAAATCATGGAGCGCCGCCCCTTGCTCGCAAAGCAAGCGAAAAAAAGCTGAGCCATCCACGAAGTTGAAGTCCCCTTTGGGGAGATCAATGTCACCTGCGCGCAGGGACGGTGCTCCTGACCCGCCGGCATTTGGGTACCTAATCAAGCCTTGCCTTCAATTCGTTCGACTGGTGCTCAACGATCTGCTTCATGACTCCAACACCTGCAGCCACGGGTGAAGGAAACAAGCGGGTAACCATGCGTGCCCCCATGCCCAGTCTCAGGAAACTGCCATAGCCCATTGCTTGGACCATGGTCCGTGTCCTTGGCACAAGGTTCAGACATGCAAGCCTAAGAGTGGTTGGGCAAAGAGTTCTTCAATCGGCCACCTTTTTTCCAGCGAGCAATGCCTCTTGCAGCGGAGGTATGTCGTGCTCAAACCCGCCAACAATTGTTGCGTCAGGTGCTCACACTCGTCTGTGAAGCAAGCCGCGCAATGCAATGTCTTGCATTTGAGGCAAAAGCATGGCAGATAGCATCTCTGTTCGGCCCTTCTGGCTGGCACCTTGTGATACGGTGTTTTTTTTCTGAAAGCTTGTTTTCAAACATGTCAATGACGGCTTGAAGGAACACAAGCTAAACGACAGTGTGGCCCAAAAGCAGCAGGAGGTAGATCAAAAAAGGATGGAAAGGAAGATGCGATGATGACGGATAGTACACGAGGATGAAGGATGAATGAAGTTCTTGATGCTTGATGACTGGCGATGAGGAAAAATCACATATTTATTCCAGATGTATATGTTGATAATGCAGGTATGCACGCATGACGACAAGTATCATGTCACTTAGATGAAGGCTCAGACGTAAGGAAAAAGGATAGCATTTACCAGGTAGTGCCTGGCCTGTGCCGGGGCGGAAGCTTCGAAAATTGAAACAACTATAGGAAGATGATGGCCTATAGGAAAATGTTTGAGATGCGAAGCAACAACTGTTGAATGAAGCTGTGAAGTGCATCAGCAGAGGAGCAAATGATGGTTGAGGTGCCAAGGACATGAAAGAATCCATGCACAACTGACCGAATGAACCAGTGAATCAATGAATGAGTGAATTCGTAAGTCGATGAACTAATGAACCAGTAAATCAATGAACCAATGAGTCACTTAATCGATGATGCAGTGAATCAACAAGCAATGAGTCAGTGAATCAATGATTCGGTGAACTGATGAATCTGAATCGATGAACCGATGAACCAATGAATCGTTGAACTAATGAGCCTATGAACTCATGAATGAATGAATCAGCGAATCAAAGTAATGAATCAATGAAACAACGACTGAAAATAAACAAAAAACCAGCCAATCAGCCAATCAAAGAATCAATGAAGCAGTGAACCAAAGAATCAACAATCAATGAATCAGTGAATCAACGGGTCGATGAACCAGTGACTCAATGAATGAATGCGTCAAACAATCAACTAATCAATGAATCAGCGAATAAGTGAACCAATGAATCAATCAATCAGTGCATCAATGAATGAGCGAACGAACAAGTTGATGTTCCCAGCTACTTAAACCTTTTCTGTAGCTTCTGCAACTCAACTCCTCCTCGCGCAGCCAGTACAATGCGTTTTGCAACGTCCATGCCATTCTGCAAACCACAAGAATAGCACTATTGTGAAAAACTACGTTTCCCGCAGGCTTTTGCCGTGCGCAGCTGTGCCAATGCGTTTTGTCAGAGCCGGTTGCAAACCCGACTAGCAGGAGCGTCGCGCTGAATCGACCAACGTTCGCGCAGCGCTGACAATGGGGGCGCGCTACTACTCCGAGAATAGCGTTTCTTAGCGATTTTATGTGAAATCGAGCTCTCGCTGCAGGTGCTGCCGACCTCATCTTTCAAAAGTGCTCTGGCGTCGTCAGTTTTTAACATTTGCAAGTGCAAACCGAGCTCTCGCCACAGTCCTGTGCACTATTTGCCGACGATTTTCCAGAAGCCACTTTGCTGAGAAAAACGCAGGGTTTCGCGCCCGAGAGTGTTCACCCGTGACTTCATGTGTTCCCGGCATGATGTGACTGTGGTTGACATGACGACATGATGAGACATGATGACAAAACTGTAACTGCCTAGACATTTGTCCGTAACTTGGAATTTTTCGAACTAAACTTTCTTTGACAAGCCGCAAGTCCAAGTTAAACTGTCATCACTTTGGCTTTTTCCCGCAAACACAAAGCTTGCTTCAAGCAAGGGGCTTGTGAAAACGCGATTGTGCTTTGAACAAACATCGGGCGTACCAAGGAAGAAGGCAGTTTAGTAGGAGCAGTCTTCGGCAATCGGTAACATCCACTGATCTTGAAAGACAGTGCTGCTTCTGATTGCTCTGTACGCGTTTGAATCAACAAGGTCACGACGCCTGTAACGGCCCTGCTGTTTTTCACCTCTTCATTCGCTGCTTTTTGGTGTTTCGCATGACCCTCACAGCGTTTTCTTGTTCTGCACATTTGTTGAGTAGCCAACGAACTTCAATTCCTAAACGCAAAACAAAATGGAATTTTTCATAACAAGCGTGTAGACATGCGACATGCGACATGGAGATCACCTCAGGCAGTCCATGTTGCATGAGAACAACCTCTACCCTTGGGAGCCCATTTTGTTAGCGAAACAAAAATGTCAGGGATCCGATGAAGGGCAAACCAGTTGGTATGAAATTCTGAGCTTTCGAATGTTAACATCACAGGCTTTACTGTACTTACTTGAACGTAGAAATAAAACAACATGTGACAACGTAAAATGCACAGCGTTCAGGAACCTCGTTTTTGGGATCAGAGCTGTAGGGTTTAGATCCGTAGGTTTTTTTTCTCTAAGTTTTCCTTTTAGTCTGTTGTGAACGTTTATAAACAGCAACTTTGTTTGCCTGATGACGTTATACCAGGTAGAGCGTCTGGCAAGTGACAAGAGACATGTTGCAGCGTAGCATCAAGAGCGTCTGGCAAGTGACAAGAGACATGTTGCAGCGTAGCATCAGGAGCGTCTAGCATGTTACAGCGTACCCCTTGCCCCCCCACCCCCCGGTTCCCCAAAAAAATCAGACTATCCTGCGTGTACAAATTCTAACTGACGTACAATACTTCTAACTAACGGGCAATACTTCTAACTGACGGGCAATACTTCTAACTGACGGGCAAGGATACAGAAAAAAGTGTCAAATTCCCCAGGGCCGGTAGGGGCGTCGTGAGCATAAACAACTCTGGCGTCCTTGCAGCAACGGCAAAGAATGCACATGGTTTACAGATACAAAATGAGCTTTTACCTGGAGAAGCCTTTACACGGAACAATTTTTAACACTCAAACGCATTTGCACACCGTAGCTTGTACACACGGATGTCTGTAGACACCGAGGCTTTTACGAATAGAAGTCCCCACAAACACATACACACACAATTTACACTCAGAAGCTTTTACACAGGCAGCTTTGCACACAACAGCATTTACACAGAGAAGCTTTTTACAAACGGAAGCTTTTTACACACAAAGCATTTACACACAGAAGATTTCACAGACAGATGCCTTTACGCAAAGAAGCTTTTTTTGAGAGAAGCTTTTACAGAGAGAAGCTTTTACACGCAGCATCTTTTGCACACAGAAGCTTTGAAACACAGAGAAGCCTTTGCACGCAAAAGCTTTTACACAGCGCAGTTTTTACACACAGACGCGTTTACGAACCGGTGCTTTTACACACAGAAGCTTTTACGCGCAGACGCTTTCACAGAAAAGGCTTTACACACAGATGCCTTTACACAGAGAAGCTTTTACAGAGGAAACTTTTACACAGAAATCACAATTACACATAGCAACTTTGACACAATGAATGAAGCATTTACACACAAAAGCTTTTACGCAGAGAATATTTTCCACACAGAATCCTTTACACGGAGCAACTTTTACACTCACTAGCTTTTACGTAGAACAGTGTATACAAGGAGTTTTGTCGGAGTCCAGATACAAGGAGAACACCTGGATTTGGAAGAGCTCCTGTATAACAACTCTTGTGTTACAACTAAGACCTCCTATGTAAGAACTCGTGTGTAACTGACAACGTAAAAGTCTTGTAGGAGATATGTAGAGGCTGGCCACCGTTAGAAGGTGTAGATGACGTATGTCTGTGTAACCTTATTTGAGTTTTGTGGTAGATGAGATGTAGATGCTGTAGGTGATGTAAGTGATCTAGATGTTGTAGGTGATGTATGTGGTGTAGATGAAAGGGTGTATATGTTGCCGGTGATGTATGTGATGTAGATGCAATTGATGTAGATGATGTAGGTGATGTAAAGGATGTAGAAGTCTTGGTGATGTATGATATGTAGATGAAGTGAAAAGTTAAATCTGGTAGCAGCTTTGGGAAGAATCCTTTGCAGGAGCTTCCGGGGAAAAAGGAAGGGCTGGCACCTTGGGTGTAGCTGGCAATGAATCAGAGAAATGGGAAAATCTCTCCTTGCAAGCAAGAAACGAAGGGCAGCACTGCAAGTGATGAGATTCCTGGCCACCAAGCGGATTTGTACAAGTGAGGTTCTGACGCAACATTGTCACTATTTCCTGCAGGAACCACAAGACTCTTTTGCCCAGGCTCAATGGGAGCATGTTTTGCTTCATCTTCCCAAGCAAAACCAAAGCCCCTTGCCAGGAACTGTTGCGTTCCTAAAACTGTGAAGCGGGAGGGCAGAATCAAAAGGGACCACCGGTGTGTTTAAAAACTGTGCTTGAAAAGACTGGTTCGCACATAAAAATGGTTAAAACCTATTGTTGTTGCAAGGCTCGCATGCGCTGATTGCTGCATTGTAGGTTGGCACGTCGGCGCGCCTCAGCTCAGATAGCGTTCGTTTGCTACATTAGAACTACAACTTCATGTGAAGGGCTACATCATCAAATCTCTGCTCTTTGTGGGGTTTGCTTAGTTGCGACGCTCTATGCTGAAAAGCAATGACAATGCTCGCCATGATCATCGCCAAGCCGACGCTTGATGCCTTTATCGTTCGACGTTTGTGCCTTCCAGCAAAAACTTCGTGGCCTCTTTGTAGTAACCAAGAAACACTGTTGCCGTCTGAAGGCGTTCAAAGACAGCCAAAGCCAATTGCCAACTACCGCTCTCCTCAGCAGGCGCTTTGCTAAGAATCGTTGCAATGAAGCACATCTTAGAATCCAAAACATCATTCCTTAAACTGCCAGGAGCAAGCCTATCTGATTGACAGTCCAGCGCTTCCCCTCCGCCAGGATTCGGAACATGCACTGATTGCCGTGTTATACACGACAACATCTGGCTGCACATTGCCAGCCGCAAAAACTTCTTGCACTAATTCCATTGCCTCGGAGGCAGCAACACGTATGCCATCAAACTCGCAGCTCCTTCCAGCCAGGCCCTTAAACGGCTGTGCACCTGGACATGATCAACTGGGGCAAATGCCAAGGCCCATTGCTCGCAAACACTGCAGGAGCTGATGAGCCCGCTAAATGTCATGGCATCTTCTTCCAAGCCTAGCGGTAGAGGGGCACATATGGACCCATGTTGCGTCACTAGAGCGTGGGTCACAACCATGAAGCCTTCCCCCCTCACACCCCAAAACCCCTCACGCCCCAACGCTGAACACAACGACGTTCATTCAATTTCTTCGTTGTTCAAGTTTGCCAACTTAACTAGGCCAGATGTTCCAAGCCACTCCGTAGTCGCAGCTCCCGCCAAAGATCCAGGGCAACTTCCCACCGGCGGCAGCTTTCGCAAACCGCAATGCAAGCATTGAAAAGGACCACCTGGATAAAAACAACGCCCCAAATAACATGTTTGCAGGGCATCTCCAAAGACAACGCAGCAGCTGCGCAGCAAAAGAATTTCACGGAATTTTTGGAAACGCCTTGCCTCGGCCCCCCTGCCGCCAAGATGCGCTAAAGCATTGGTGCAACATGCAGCATTCCCAAAGCAAAGCCAGGGCAAGTTGCCACCTCTTGACATGTTTGAAATTGCACGCCCTGGACGTCTGTGCTGGAACCGTTCCGGGATATCTCAAATACATGGCAGTTAGTTTGTTAGAAGTGCTTTCGAGAACGCTTCTGAGAACAGACCGAGCTCCTACAGCTTAGGAAGTGCATTTTAGGAAGAGGTGGACTGAAAAGCCCGCGGTCCAGCTCTCTACCGAATCCGGTAAAGAATTGCCATGACACCAGCAAATCTTTAAGGCTTTGCGATGCAAAAAGCGAATCATTGTAAGAGATGGGATGGAAAACGCAATTTCCATAGCAGATATGCATACGAAAATAATAAGCAGCATAAGCAATTTACCAAAGGAAGTTTAGTTCGAACACTTCCGAGTTACGGACGAATGTCCAGGGGCTGTCTTGTCATCATGTCTGCGCGAAGAGAAGAATTGGGCTGCAGATGCTATAGAAGAGCTAGCTGGGAGGCAGCTCAAAGCAGACTCAGAGAAGAAGTAGCTGAGAGAAGAGGAAGTAGCTCAACAAAGAAAAGTAGCTCACCCATCCCTCCATCCATCCATCCATCCACCCATCTTTCAATTCATTCATTCGTCATTTGTTTAGTGACTGATTCATTGATCAATTGATTCGTTGGGTCAAAGACTCATTGGTTCACTGATTCCTTGGGTCATTCCTAATTGATTCATTGGTTCATGATTCAATGATTCATTGAATCACTGGTTCATTGATTCAATGATTGATTTACCGATTCATTGATTCACTGGTTCATTGATTCATTGATTCATTGGTTCATTAATTCACTGATTCATTGTTTCATTGCTTCATTGATTCGTTGATTCATTGATTTGCTGATTCATTGCTTTATTGGTTCATTGATTCATTCGGCCAGCTGTGCATGGATTCTTTCATGTCATGTCGTTGGCATCTCAACAACCATTGGCTCATCCGTTGATGCATCTCACAACTTCACCATTTCATTGCTTCTGCATCTCAGCATCTCAACAACTTTCCTTATTAGGCAATCTTCTTCCTATAGTTGTTTCATTTTTTTCTCGAAACTTTTGCCCCGGAGCGTGGTATATGCATATATGTAAACCTATAAATACACATATATGTAATATAATTATATAAATATATATGTACATGTAAATGTAAAATATGTAAATGTAAAATATGTAAATATAAAAATAAGTATGTAAGTATATATAAATAGATATGTTCTATCATGAAAGCAGCAAATTAAAAATGAATAAGTAGCTAGTTAAACGACAATATTAATAGAAAGACATATATATTTATACATGTAAAAAAAAGACAAAAAATACAACAAATAAACAAATAATAAAAAACATGATTATATATATATACATATAAATATAAATAAATAAATAAATAAAATATATATATATATATATATATGTGACGCCCCGACAATATGTCATGTACACAAACGCATATTTACAAGGCGCATGCTACATGCAACTCCTGAAGGGCTCATCCAGCTGAGTTGCTGGAAACCAACTGCCGAAGCACTGACTGCAGCGCCGTAGGTCACAACCTGACGGGGGCCACTCGGGTGAACCACGGAAGCACAGCTACAAAAACTTCTTTGCAAACCTCAACATTTCACTTCACTACCACTACCACAGTAAATAGGCCATCTCACCTATCTTGAGAAACTGAATGTCTACCTGCGATCCTGCCGGCGCTCGGGGACCCCGGCATTGGTCCCAACCATGGTTCGCATCTGAAAGAAGACGAGGAGAGCCTGACTGAGCGAGTTTCTTTTGAAAGGGCCACTCATCCCCGAACATGTCGCAATCCAGAAGTGTATGATTCATTGCCAGAAACAATCCAAAGCAATAATTCTGTACAGCTCTCAAGTTTGATATTTTGACCTCAAATCTTTTCCGCTGCTTTCTGCTGATGCCAGCCCTCCACACCACCCACGCCTGTTGCCAAAGACCTGCCTCAGAACAAGCATTGACGCTGGCCGCGCAGGTCACCACATCCGCAAAGCCCTCGGTGCCGGCCTGCGATAGCAGCTGTAAGGCAGCCTGCCACTGGCTGGCACGACCACAGGCGCTGATGCAGGCGTTGAAACTGATGCCATCTTTCAGTGGCAGCTGAGACAAGATGGAAATCGCTTGTTGCCACTGCTGACTCTTCTCACATGCGCTCAAGGCTGAGTTGTAAGTGATCACATTAGCACGCAAGGACACCTGTGGCAAACTTCGCATCAGTTGCAACGCAGCTTCCCAGGCACCACCCTTCTCACAGGCGCTGATCAACGCATTGAAGGCGATCAAATCTGGCTTCTGAATGCCTTCGAACAAATGGAGGGCGTCCTGCCAGCGACCCCCGAGGCCACAGGATGTAATGGCTGTGCTGCAGGTGATCAGTTGTGGAGGCATTGATATAAATCGCATCCTTTCAAGGAGCAGCAAGCTGTGGTGCCAATCGCTTGCGCTGATAGCTGCCTGCGGCGGCTGCCAGGAAGGGCCACTAGGGTTTTGGTAAAAAACTTCAACAACTTTTAACGGCTTGGTACGTGAGAAGCAAAAAAGACTTCGCAACTTCAAAGCTTCACAGTTGACTTCGAATCGATTTGTTTCCCGAGTCGCATTAAATGAGACAATGTCCCGCTGCACTTGAAGTTGGTCCATTTGATCCAGCAAATGGAAAGCTATCTGCCAATCTTCAGCAGCACTGATGGCTGCGTTGAAACTCACGGTGTCACTTTCCAGCTTCGAAGTCTGCAAGCCATCCAGCAACTGCAAGGCCCATGGCCATGTGGTCGACTTGGCACAGGCGCTGATGGCGGCATTGAAACTGATGGCGTCAAGTTGAAGATCATGCTCTTGGACCTGGGGACATTGAGGTGCATGGAATGATTGCCTTTCACCTAATGGCATTGTGGAGGAAACGCAGGACAGTATCAGCAAATCAATATGCCAGGTGGTGCAAGGCTCCTTGATTGGAAATGAAGCAGCCAATGGAACCATACTGGAAGTCTGCAGTTCGCCTCTACCATACATGAAGGCCTAAATGTACATGGAAACATCGAAACAAGTCCATCTTGAATGAGCCAAGCACCCACACTTGAAGTCGTCTCTCAAATTTGTAATGCCATCCCATAGCTCCTCCTCCTCCTCCTCATCATCATCATCACCATCATCACCATCATCATCATCATCATCAACATCATCGCCATTACCATCATTTTCCCGGATTACATGGCTATTTCGGGGTACACGGATGCTTCTCCATTTTCCGGACAAAGCGCATCTCGCAGGAGATGCAGCGCAGCTTGCCACTGGCCTCCCTTGTCACAGGCGCTGACCACCGAGTTGCAGGCGATGAGATCCAGCTGCACCGCGGCACTGCGGAATGTATCGAAGAGCTGCAGGGCCACTGGCCATTGCTGACCCCGCTCGCAGGCGCTGATTGCGGCACTCAACGAAATCACCTGCGAATTCCAAGCGAACCAGATGAAGCTGAGGGATGAAAAGTTTCTTCAATAATGTATTGATTTAACCATGGATTTGTTTCAGGGTTGGATGCCCGTGATGATGGGTGAAGTTGAAAAAACAAAATCTTTTAAGGCATTGGGACTTTATCATCATATTGTTTTGAAGTTGCCAAGTGACATCAGGTCTGTGCCGCATCTGGCCCAGCTGGTCCAAGACATGCAAGGAATATCTCCATTGCTTTGCCCGGCCACAGCAGTTGATAACGGAATTGAAGACCAGGAGCTTCGGGCAAATGGACGCGTGGCATGCCTGAGGGCTCTCTGCGATTGGGATGCGATCTAACAGTTTGATGGGGTGAAATGAGCAGCTTGAGTTTGCTCTACCTGGTTTTCTCATTGGGGTTCATTGGGGTTGGTTAGGGTATATGAAAGTGACATTTTTTCTCGCGTTTGGATTAAACATGTTCCCATGGATGTGGCACCTTGTCCAGCAAATCAACTGCAGTTTGCCACTGCTTGGCCTGAATGATGGATGTGGTGTAGTCGTCCTTGCAAGACTCTCCAGATCATTGACATGCGAACTTGATAGAGGTTTTGATTCACTGTGGGGGTTTGAAACATCTGACGATGTTGGTGACCTGCTCACACATTTCAGTCCTGCCTTTGTCCATGTGTCACGTCTTGTCGTGGAAGCCATGGCGCCATTTTCCGCGTCAAGGCGAGCCAAAACTGAGAAACAGTTGTTAATGAAAGGATGTTAGCATGCTGCACGACGTCCTCCGCATGTTACAGCGTGAAAGAAAATCAATCTCATATCAGCTCACCTATGATGAAATCTGAGTTTCTGACATATATCCAACGTCCATTTCCTGGCAGCCCAACGTTGCTTGTGGCGTTGCTTGGCACTTCCTCCCCGTCCCAGTCGGGTGGCTCGGCACCTTGAGGAATGAATCCCAGTCTCCTTCGGCCTGGCGAAGAGAACTTGTGATCGCCATATCCGCGTTTTTGGGTCGGGATTGGAGATATGAACTTGGCAAACCTTTAAATATATGTATGTATGCATGCATGTATGCATATATATATATAAATATATGTAAATAAATATTTATATGTATATAAATGTATGTATATGTCTATGTATATGTCTATGTATATGTCTATGTAAATGAATGTATGTAAATGAATGTTTATATGTATGTATGTATGTATGTATGTATGTATGTACGTATGTATGCATGCATGCATGCATGCATGCATGCATATATATATATATAAATATGTACACATATATTTACATATATGTAAACATATATATGTATATCCGCCGACCCCGGCCTTCGCCAAGGCAGGGGCGGCGCCTGGGACCACCGTAGGTGTGGAACTTTTGCCTGCACTGCATAGCCCTCTGTTCTCAGGGCGTGCATCAGCCTTTGCTGTTCCAGGCACTCAGGCCACAGCCCTCTGTTGTTAAGGGCGTTCAAGCCTGCCGTTTGCCAGGCCTCAAACCCCTAAAACCTTGTGCGGCAGCTTCGACCAGGTACTCAGGCCACAGCCCTCTGTTCGACCAGGCACTCAGGCCACAGCCCTCTGTTGGCGTTCAAGCTTGCCGTTTGCCAGGCCTCAAACCCCTAAAACGCTCTGCAGCAGCTTCGACCAGGCACTAAGGCTAAGGCCACAGCCCTCTGTTGTTAAGGGCGTTCAAGCCTGCCGTTTGCCAGGCCTCAAACCCCTAAAACGCTCTGCGGCAGCTTCGACCAGGCACTAAGGCTAAGGCCACAGCCCTCTGTTGTTAAGGGCGTTCAAGCCTGCCGAAACGCTGCGCGGCAGCTTCGACCAGGCACTCAGGCTGCAGCCCTCTGTTGCTAAGGGCGTTCAAGCCTGCCGTTTGCCAGGCTAAAACCCCTAAAACGCTTCGCGGCAGCTTCGACCAGGCACTCAGGCCACAGCCCTCTGTTGTTAAGGGCGTTCAAGCCTGCCGTTTCCCAGACCCTCAAACTTCTAAAACCCTGCGCGGCAGCTTCGACCAGGCACTCAGGCCACAGCCCTCTGTTCGACCAGGCACTCAGGCCGCAGCCTTCTGTTGTTACGGGCGTTCAAGCCTGCCACGGTCGGTTTGGAGCTCGAGCAGCCCATGGCTCAACGCCCGGCTGTGGCCCCAAATTCTGCGGAGCTTTGTGCTACAGGATTCCATCGATTGGTTTAGGTGTGAAAATCTGAGCCGGAAACCATATAAGCATATTATAACATCATGTGTGCGTGTATATATATATATATACACATGTATATCCGCACCCTTGAAAGGGGGTGGGCGGCACCAGGGCGTTAGCCCAGTCTATATGTATATATGTATCTATGTTATGCATGTACATACACATGCACTTAAATGGAAACTGATAACCCCATTTTTGTTGCTTGAAACATTTGAAGATTATATGAGCGGGAGCGGGTGATCCGCTATTGAATCTGGATAGTTCATCAGAAACCGCAATGACTTGTTGTGTTGGGCCACCCTTGGGATGGTTCTACCATAGATTAACTATGATATGCACAGGGCTTGGCTGCAGTGAGGTTGTTATTATGCGGATAGATGAGCAACCACCAAGAATGGTTGCTCAAGCAGCTTAAGCCTCTGATTTCGTGGCAAATCACCCTATTTCTTGTAGGTTCCCCCCAGGTTTCTCAGACATTTTGGGCCTTCACCAAGAGCCATTCTCCAGAGAAGTTGGGCAAGGCGTCCTCCAGCCTGATCAGATATAATATAAATCAGAAATCAGAACAAAATGATGAAAACAAGATGCAGCCCACGAGCCCGAATGCAGTCACGTAGAACTTTTTTGTGAAACAAGTTAATTGAACATTCTTGTGCATGTTTCCCTTGCTACCGTACCAGTGCACTGTAGACTGTGGAATGTGGAAGAGGGTGGAGTGCAAAGTGTGGAGTGTGGATTGTAAAGTGTAGCGTGTAGAGTGTAGTGTGGAGAGTGTAGAGTGTGGAGTGTAAAGTGTACAGTGTGGAGTGTGGCGTGTAAAGTCTAGAGTGTGGAGCAAAGTGTGGAGTGTAAAGTGTAAAGTGCGAAGTGTAAAGTGTAAAAAGCAAATTGTGAAGTGTAGAGTGTGAAGTGTAAAGTGTGGAGTGTGGATTGTGAAGTGTGGAGTGTAAAGTGTAAAGTGTAGAGTGTGGAGTGTAAAGTGTAGAGTGTGGAGTGTGGAGTGCAGTGTAGAGTCCGGAGTGTAAAGTGTAGAGTGTAAAGTGTGGAGTGTAAAGTGTGGAGTGCCAAGTGTGGAGTGTAAAGTGTATAGTGTAAAGTGTGGAGTGTACAGTGTGGAGTGTACAGTGTAAAGTGCAGAGTGTAAAGTGTAGAGCGTGGAGTGTAGAGTGTGGAGTGTGGAGTGTAGAGTGTAGAGTGTGGAGTGTAAAGTGTAAAGTGTGGAGTGTACAGTGTAAAGTGCAGAGTGTAAAGTGTAGAGCGTGGAGTGTAGAGTGTGGAGTGTGGAGTGTGGAGTGTAGAGTGTGGAGTGTAAAGTGTAAAGTGTGGAGTGTAAAGTGTGGAGTGTAAAGTGTAGTGTGTGGAGTGTGGATTGTAAAGTGTAGAATGTGGAGTGTAAAGTGTACAGTGTGGAGTCTGGAGTGTAGTGTATGGAGTGTGGAGTGTAGAGAGTGGAGTGTAAAGTGTGGAGTGTGGAGTGTAAAGTGTGCAGTGTAAAGTGTAGAGTGTGGAGTGTAAAGTGTGGAGTGTAAAGTGTAGAGTGTGGAGTGTCAAGTGTGGAGTGTAAAGTGTAAAGTGTGGAGTGTCAAGTGTGGAGTGTAAAGTGTAGAGTGTGGAGTGTAAAGTGTAAAGTGTGGAGTGCCAAGTGTAAAATGTAAATTGTAAAGTGTGGAGTGTGAAGTGTGGAGTGTGGAGTGTAAAGTGTAGTGTGTGAAGTATGGAATGTAAAGTTTGGAGTGTAAAGTGTAAAGTGTGGAGTGTAGAGTGTGGAGTGTAGAGCACGCAATGCGACACGTCTGAAGTGCTGCGCCTGCCACGCAAAATGATGATGGAGGTCTCCAAAGTCCTGCGTCTGCCACGAAAAATGGAACTCATTTTCTGAAAACGACGAAACTATTGCGCCTGCCAAACAAAATGATTTCCGACACGTTTGCAGACACATGAGAATGTCTTGCTTCTTCGTTGATAACATAAACTGTGAACTGCATCAATGCACGGAGTGCACTGTCCTGCAAAGGGCTCTTATAGATTCCAAGGCCTTGCGCGCCGCCCGCTCTGCCATGGCGGCGAGGAGTCTTGAGCTCCGCCACGTACTGCTCGTATGCGGCCGTGCGCTCCTCAAGATATGCTTGGGGGGATCTTGTGGGCTGAAGGAAAACACTTTCACCGGGCACCAAGGGGAAGACATGATGACATAAGATGATTCTAAAAGCCACTCCTTCGGGCAGGCGGATTCAAACACCGGGCAGTTGCCAGCGACCCGGCGCTGAAGTTTGGCGTCGATCTCCCGCTCTTTTCGCAGCAGCGCCGTGTCTACTTCCAGCCAGGCAGGTCACATAAAAAATTATACTTCTTTTTGCAGGCATCACTGCGCAACAAAAAGTTTAAGTTTATGGTAGCTCCATTCCAAACCAGCAATACGACTGTTTTCTCTCGGCACCATCAGAATATATTCGCCTTTTAAACCTTCAGTTGCAAAGCGCCTCTGCCACATCTTCCATGTTTGCGGCTGCCACGGCTTGCCCCGTTGATTCTGCCAGGGCGAGGAGCTCTGGGCAGAAGCTGAGCATGTTGAGGTCGAAAAAACGCACTGCTCCACACATGCACACACACAAATACACACAAATACAGACACACGCACACACACACACACACCCGCACCAAGCGACAACGAAAACTTTCCTGCCTTAATGTCCGTCGGCGCCTGGCTGGGGCAGCGCCCAACAGCTCACTTGCCAGCGAGGGTTGCCATTGGCCACCAGATAGCAGGTCTTGTCCTTAATTGGGCGACAAGCAGAGCAAAGAGTTTCAATGCATGATAGGCATTGCGTTGCTTTTTATTTTTTGCTTGCATCGATCTACCCCCTCTTTCTTGATCCCGTGCCCCCTTCTTCTTTACCCTGCCTTGATCTCACCGCTGACGTCGACCAACGCGGTGACGGTGGCCCCAATGCCCGGAATTTTAAGTTGGGGCTTCTTTCAGGGCAGCTGCTTGTGCCTTATTTCGGTTTGAGACATGGCAAGCAGCACAAATGAATAAGGGCTTATCGACAAGCGACAAGTGCGCACTACAGGCAACATGGAGCAAGTAATCATATCCAAGCAACAGGCCCCAGGCTGCAGAAGAGCCACGGCGCAGCGCATTGCAGGTACCGCGCAGGGCGCAGGAAGGCCCTGCTTCTTCTTCTTCCTGTGATGGGATGTCCGAGGAATGTTCATGAACGAGCGACGAGCGCGCTGCCTATCTGCAGGGAGTGTGTGCAACACATTGACCAACAACCGTGCCTTGGTAAGGTCGGCCATAGGAGTAAGGCTGCCGTGGGCCTCCCCGACAGCGACTTTGATGTTCCCTGCAGGGCAGCGCCGCCGGTGCCATTTCATGTGCCTCCTGGCGGCAGTAGACCAAAAACAGAAAGCATTACTTTCGTCCATCCGTTACCTCCCAAACATGTTAAAAATTGAAGCAGCTACAGCAAGCTGAACGATTGTTGGCTTGCTTGGTCCCTGCAGGCTGCGAGGCACTTGTTGTAGAGCTCCTCGGCGATTGGCTTGCGCAGCATGTCGAAATTGCATCCGCACAAGGGCTGGCCAGCGCCCTGAAGCCAATGCCATGACGTTATAATTTTACATGTGGCCAAGATATCCCGTCGCCTGATTGCAGGGGGCTGCGATGCTACTCGAAGGCGCAACACCGCAGCTAAGGACGCGCCACACCTGGGCAAGGAAGTGCATGGAGCTGTCTGCATCATCCATGCTGTGGTTCGTGTGTGTATGTGTGCGCCCGTGTGCCCATTGATGTGGTTCTCGCATCAAATGCAAAGAGTGTGCCATGAACCATCCCCAAACTGCGCAGTGGCCTCAGCTTTGCCATCGTGTTTGCTTCCCGCACGGTGAGGTCCAGCCCAAAGGCCTGATTTGCAGGACGGCGCTTGCTGGTACCTTCACTGGCCACGCAAAACGACATTACAACCAGCTTTGCTACCCTCCACAAGGACAAGTTTTGCAGCTTCCCCCATAGACACGGCGAGGCCACAGGAAAACCAGTGACCCGAGACGAGACACGTGGGAGCATCAGAACGAGCATTTCGTGCGAGACTTCCTCCAATTTTCACAATTTGCAGCTTCAAAATCGGCGTTTTCCTACGAGTTTCTTATGAACCTCTAAATTTGCTACCTCAAAATCGATGTTTCGTACGAGGCTTCCGTCAATTTTCATCGCACCTCACAAAATGCCCCGCCTGCCATGGAATTTGCACCTTGTGGCCACTTGACGCAGCCCTGACACTGCGATTCGCAAAAAACACGCATCACGACACGTCTAAAGTGCTGCGCCTGCCACGCGAAATGACGATGGAGGTCGCGAAAGTGCTGCGCCTGCCACGAAAACTGCAACTCATCTTCTGAAAGCGATGCAAAAGTATTGCGCCTGCCAAACAAAATGATTTCTGACACGTTATGAAAGAGAGTGGGACGCCACCAGGTCCCAAAAATACGTGGTTTTAAGTATTTTTTTGACTATTTTATGCTTCTTTTTCCGCTTTTGATCATATATGAAAGATCAAAGTTCTTGGGAGATGTACTGTTTTTGGTTTGTTAATCCTTAGCTCTATTCTTGGTTGCTTGCTTTTTGTAGCTCTATTTTTTTTTGATAGGTGGTCTTAGTGTATGAATGGCAAAGTTCTTTGCCCAACAACATCTTGAAACATAGAGATTCAGTGTGTCAGTTGGTACTTCATGTATATATATATATTAATCTATAGGTACTACCTAGGTATACAGCTATTGCAAAGACAGTATATATATATATACATATACATAGCACTTTGTATTTGCATTGGTGGTTTTTGATATTGGGTTGCCAGGTCGCCTTTTGGTTGACATCATAGTTCCAGTGGAACTCTTTTAGCAAATGAAAGTGCAAATTCCAACTTATTCTCCCTCCTCAAGTAGTTGCATTTTTTTGGCATACTTCATGGTAACTTGCTGCATCAATGCACAAGCAAGGCAGCCATTCTATAGATACAGTTGTTTGGTAAGGTTGCTTAAGTGTTTCCTTTACTTGGTCTTGTGCCCTTCTGGTTACCATGATGAACTTATACTGACATAGATTAAGTTTTGCCCACAGCCATGAGTACATTTATGGTAATAAAATGTCTGCCGTTATATTTGCAGTGACACAGCAAATTACCATGGAATATGCAGGTAAAAACGCCTTTTCTGAAGCAAGGGGGAAATAGAAGTGCCTCTGGAATTTGGCAACTCTTGTGATCAATCGATATTTTAAGCCAAGATCTTTTACTGCATTGAAACCTGGAAGAATACCATTGCATATGCAGGAAAAATGTAGAAAACTTGTGTCTGTAAGGGCATAGGTGACTTATATGCCACCCTTTCCATAACTGTATGCACTATATAAGAAAAATGTATATATAAAATAGTTGCATTCTAAGTGCAAATGCAGCTTGGATGTGTTGACACAGCAAATGGCTATGGTATCTGCAAAATATATATTGCTTTTATCACAAAATACCCTCTAGATATCAGTGCATGTTCGAAGCTGCCATTTCTACTGTATATATACTGATACTGCGCACTTGTGACAATGCGCTTGCATATTGGCTGAAACCATTCACCCACTAAAGCACAAACAACCCCTGAAACTTTTCATACAGTTTATAGATCAAAGAATTAAAAACAAGAGTGAGTATTGATCAAAAGGATGGAGAAGGGACCCCTTTCCATATGAATGCATTCTGGGAGCTGCTACTTCCTAGTCCAATGTGTTGTGTCATAGCTGTTTTCTGTCAAGTTTTATAAACAGTCTTACCTCTTTTTAGGTGTTACTCATCCTGTCATAAAAGATCATGAAAGCACAGCCAAGCAATTATGGTAACAGGGTACCTGGATTAGATATGCAGTGGCATAGCAAATTACTGTGAAATATGCAGGAAAAAACATATTTTTGGAGAAAGGGTAAGTTGGAGCTGCCCTGACCATGTGCCAACTCTTACGAGCAAAGTCAGTTGCAACCAAAGAGTCTTTATTGCAGTCAATCCTGGAAGAATTCCATTACATATGCAAAGTACATGTGGAAAATGTGTGTACATATTGCTATGCGCTACTTATGTAGCATCCATATCATAGATGCATACAGTAGTACTACTACTAGGAAAATGCAAGTCCATCAATGTAAATACGAGGGGCCCCTTGAGCACCTTGGGGGGGGGACCTGCCAATATACATTTACAGGGGCTTCAAAAAACACAAACCGGGAGCACAATATACATTAACAACTTTTTTCATCTTTTTTCTGCAGCGGCCATGCTTCAACACCTCTCAGACGTCTCAGAGCCGACCTGGGACACCGCCGGCAACGCCGGCAAAGCTGAGGTTTGGGATAGATTCGATACTGCTTTTCAGCATTGAATTGACTGATATTTCAGCAGGAACTAAGGCTGGGGCATCTTAAGGACTGGGGTATATAGGAGGGCTATATATAGGAAGGCTAGGAGAGGGGGGAAGCTCATTTAAGAAAAATGGCTCCCTTTTATTGGCCACCTCTCCCCTAAGGCATACACACACTATGTTTGTTTTTCCTCCTTCCTTTTCCCTGGGGATCTTCATGACTCTCTGGACATTCTTTGGCAACCTTTGGCAACCTGCCATCAGGGAGAGGCTATGTACATAGGAGGGCTAGGAGAGGGGAGAAGCTCGAAAAAAGAAAAAAATGCTTCTTTTCCTTGGCCACCTCTCCCCCTAAGGGAAGCCATATATATATATATATACACACACACACTATGTTTGTTTTTTCACCTTCGTTTTCCCTGGGAATCTTCATGACTCTCTGGACATTCTTTGGCAACCTTTGGCAACCTGCCATCAGGGAGAGGCTATGTACATAGGAGGGCTAGGAGAGGGGAGAAGCTCGAAAAAAGCAAAAAAAAATTGCTTCTTTTCCTTGGCCACCTCTCCCCCTAAGGGAAGGACATTCTTTGGCAACCTTTGGCAACCTTTGGCAACCCCTGAGGAAGTCTGACAATCTGTGTGGATCTCTAGCAATACCATCACAGGTATATGAACATAAATGATCGAACGTGATGTAGCAGAAGCACTGCATTCCCAGAAACGTGGAAAAATGGGGACCTGACAGCGTCCTTTTCTGTTATGAAACATGTTGGAATGTCACAAAGTGCCACGCCTGCCACGCGAAACGAAGCTACACGACGTCTGAAACCTCCAAAAGTGACCACTGTTGCAAAACTCGCCACAGGCACGGCCATAGCGACCTCACGCCGACGGTTGCAAACGGTTGCGAACGGTTGCGCAACATCTGGTGAACACAGCCTCGACCCCCAGACCTCCAGAGTGAAACGGGAACCCTTGCTACGCTTGGGGAAAAATGATAGGCTAGGTTTCAAAGTGTTGAAGGCAAGCATTAGAGATGCAGAACCCTTCCGCAATTTGAACTAATCTGAGATCTCTGCTGTCCCTGCTCTTCATCGTGAAGATTGTTCAAAGAGCATGGCCTGGGCGATTTCCGGAGAATCCGAGAAGCCGTTGTTATGGAATGATTCAGAATTTTTCTAGAGGTTTCAGAATGCACTGAAATTTGCCAAAGCTAATCATTGAAGCTGGGTCGGCGGCCTCTCTAGAGGCTCGAAGGCCCTCAGCATGCAATGAATAAAAACATCCTCTAAAGATTCTGTCTCCTAATTTTCAATTCAGTTCTGGATAGACTTAATCGCAAACAAGTCCAGTCTGCACACACAAGGGTGACGCTTTGTTTTGCATCTTCCGAAACATAACTCTTGCATGAAAGTGAGCCAATTTGGTCTTTAAGGATAAAATAATTAGCATGGCACAGCAGGCATGGCGATCTCTGTCCAGTCTGGCCTGTCGTCATCTAGCTGCTCAATCTCAGGTTCCCTGACTGAACAGAAAACTCGCACGAAGCACGTTCGCCCAACCCCACAAATGAAAGAAGCTCATACAACATGAGTTCAAACATCAGCAAGTCCTGCACTTCAATGACTTGAATCGCTACAGCAATTCCTGTACCTTGGGCCCTGGCCTAAATTCAGCAGCACCGCAAAAGCAAAAGAATGACCTCAGAGTGCTGCTGGACTGCCAACAGAAACCTGCCCGCATTTCACCTTCAAAAAGGAGCTGAGGTGGCCGAGCCATGGCCCAATCTTCAGCGCAAAGTCTGGTGCACGGGCATATGCCATGTTGGCCACTAAGGGAAGCTCTGATGAAATGGATTCGGACTATCTTGGAAAGGATTTCTGGAAGAGATTCATGAGGATCTTTGTTGACAAGTCTTGGAAGAAGCCTACTGAAAGTATTGCGAAGCTAGTCAGTGATGGCAGTTCCCAAAGCACGAACTTGAACAATCTTCGGCGACAATTTAGGAGCAATCACAGGCCGTGTTCCGCAGGCCGAGTGGGATTGGAGCATGGGTATCTTTGGATTTGAACTGGGAATGCATCATAGGTCGATGAATGACACACTCACTAGGTGGAGTCCACGCGATGTCTTTGCTACATGGGCAACTATTGGTTGCTGCTCCATTTCCATCTTGAAATGTCCAGTTTCAATAATTTTCGGCTGCCTTGCCACAACAACCCATCCCCACTGTCCATGCCCCAGGTGCACCGCTTTTTTTTGCTCACCAAGTCCTCGCAGGAGTAGCTGATTTCACAGCACTTCCAAGGACATTATTCGTGTTCTGCCATGCTGTTTTGAAGATATGGCCCTCCGAAACAGGCCACATGGATCAACTATAGAACACTTTTGGTTTTTGACTCGCAGAGGTACTCAACAAGGGTCATCTCCAGATGAATTTTGCCGGTTAAAAATCATTCCTATAACCATCATTGTATCCCCAGTGAATCCCATTCATGCTCATTCAACCCATTGAGCCATTGTTAGCCCATGGATGAGTGGAGCCCAAAGACGTTGGATTTGGGTCCCGCGGCTGGACCAAAATTTCGAGCTTCGAGGATTTGCCACTTTGTCGCATGGAACCCTCCGAGAACGCGGAAGAGGGTCTTCTGATTGGATATCGATATACATATGTGTATGTATATATACATAGATATATGCATCTATGTAGGCGTGTATGTACATGTATACAAACAAACAGCTTTCTGGTTCTCTTTTTCCTTATAGCATTCATCTGCCAGAAGACCCCGGCAAAGCCTGAGGCTAGGCATGTTGCACCTGACTCGAGGCTTTGTTTGTTTAAAAAGCTGTCATACATGAAGGCTTTGTTTGTTTATAAAGAGCTTTCATAAAGCGTCACCAGACATCGAGCGGAGCTAGTCAGGCGCCAAGGTTGCCAGAAACGCACTCTTTTGCTCCAAAATTATGAGCTCCAAATAAAAGGACCAGATAACCCCACATGTCAGCTTTAGCCAAAGAAAGGTGAAAATGGGATGGGAAAGGCAGGAAAGAGAAAAGAGATGGTGGAAGATCGGTGTGTGCAAGAAATGCGTGTCGACGTAAGGTGTGTGAAAGAGGTCCGTGTAAAGGTGTTGTTGGTGAAAGAAGTGTGTGTAAAGGCGTGGTGCAAGAACGTAGTGTGTGCTAACGTGTTGTATGTACAAGTGTTGTGGATAAGTGGTGGGTGATCATGTAATGTAGCCATAACCGACGTGCCAACACCATGAGTAGAGGTGAATGGCAACCGCGGGTCTTGGCAGCATGTGCAGGGCAGCCCGCGCAGACCGTCATGAGAGCGGACGGTCTGCAGCAGGTTCTTGGCGGATGCAAAAGGTTGCCTCTTTGCACGGCCCGTCAAGAGAACCGTCGTTCGCAGAGGCACCTGGCAGGTCAGGCAAGTCAGGCATCAACGACACGCATTGAGAACCCAACGGTGCAGTGATTCATGACTGGTTGGACAGCTGTTAGACACATGTGGTGCAGTGCTGACATGTGCTCGGCATGGTGGAATTCTCTGCAGGCGCGTCAGAGCAACCCCTTGCCACGTAGCGACGGGAGAACGTGCGCGATGAAGACGGAAAGGCACCTGGCAGCGAAACGTCATGACGAGAGGCAGGGGGAGACAAACAGGGGTCAAAAAGTGCAACAGGTGACAGTAGAAAAATAATAATGCACACGTGATAGTTACACTAACGGAGATGCGTGCGATGCGAGGTCTATGCAAGTGAAGCAAGCAGTGTGATTGGAGGGCCTCCCACTTTACGCTCCCTTGGCAGGTGCACACAGGCACACATGCCACCCACCACCCAATCGCACGGCGCTTTTGAATGGTGGGGTGTGTGCCCACGCCAAATGACACTGGATGTCCCCAAGTGCCACGCCTGCCACGCAAGAGACCCCGGCAGCGACCAGCGCGGACCAAGCTCGTCACAAGAGCCAGCCCAGTGCTGTAAGTGCCACGCCTGCCACGCCAAATGGCACTAAAGCAAGGTCAAAGTCACCAAGTGCCACGCCTGCCACGCAAAAGATCCGGCGTCACTGTCCACGGCGACACGCGGGAACCAAGCGCGCCACCGGAGCCAGCCCAGTGCGATAAGTGCCACGCCTGTTCCACAAAGTGCAGGTCGATGGCCACGCCTGCCACGCAGAATGCACGTCGATGTCGCCAGGTGCCACGCCTGCCACGCAGAATGAACGTCGCTGTCAGCCAAGTGCCATGCCTGCCATGCAGAATGCACGTTGCTGTCGCCAAGTGCCACGCCTGCCACACAAAGTGAAAGTCTATGTCGCCAAGTGTCACACCTGCCAGTAAGTTGTCTGTGAACAAGTTGTGTGTGGGTAAGCTGTGTGTGAACGAGTTGTGTGGGTGAGAAAGTTGTATGTGAGGGAGTTGTGTGTGAGGGAGTTTTGTGTGAGAGAGTTGTGTGTGAACAAGTTGCGTATGAGGGAGTTGTGTGTGAGAGGTGTGTGTGAGTAAGTTGCGTGTGAGTGAGTTGTGTGTGAGTGAGTTGTGTGTGAGAGAGTTGTGTGTGAGTAAGTTGTGTTGTGAGTGAGTTCTTCTTGTGTGTGAGAGAGTTGTGTGTGATTTGTGTGTGAGTAAGTTGTGCGTGAGCGGGAGAAGGTGGAGGCAGGAGGAGGCAGGAGGAGGCAGGAGGAGCGGACGGGGGTGCACAACCAAAAACAAGAACCCCACACAAAGATGTGGGGAAAAATAAAAAACCACTGGCTTTGGTGATAAACTAGCCTTCCACATGTTCGGGAAACCACAAGTGGCATATACCCAATTTCTAGGCGTCTTGAATCTTGGCAACCTCTGCACCTGCATGAAGCAGACGGCGAAATTCGCTGATTCGTCTGAGATTGAAAACCCAGCAGCTTCAAAAAGTGACCCTCGGATCTTGCCATCTTGAAGGTGCTTGTAGGCTTTTGATTTTCAACCAATGTGATCGATCGACAAGATCCAGATGCTTTGCAGCGGCCCGGTGGAGAGATGCTGGAGCCAACGGTTGCCCAATCCAGAAGACTCCAATTGTGGGATATTGGGTCAAAATCTTAAGACATCTAGACCCATAGAGCTTGTATACTTGGGTATCTTTAGTATTCACTTCTGTAGATTTGGGGTTCCCAATTTCGACCCTGCCTCCCTGCGACCAGAAATGGAATCATTGTAGAAGACTCGAGACAAAGCTCCTCTCAAAAAACTTGGAATCACAACTGATGCGCAAGCTTCCTGTTGACCTTCCGTTTTTCCTCGGTGCACCAAGGTTTAGTCAGTTCAGTCCCTAGCCACTTCCCAGGTAGGAACCAACTTCCATGCTATCCAACCGCACTTGACAGAAACGCCATCCACAGCAAAACAACTTTCGCCTGCAAGAACAGCCGTCTGTTTCACCAAGGGACGTAGGAGATGCGATTTCGTCGTTTTCTCGCTTCGTCCACAGTGCAAAGATGGCAATGGGTGCACTCATCGCCAAATTTGCAGCAAGGCGGGACCTTCATGAAGAAAATGCAAGGCCTTGGCATGGTGAAATCTGCAGCAGGGACTCGAAATGGGACCAAGGAGACCTCAAAAAAGTCAAAAATTGTCATGTGGCGAATGGGCTAATAGGACGTAAGTCAAACTGTTGTTGGTTGCACCAATTCTACGGGTGAATCGTATTGAACCATCTATGGGGCTTGGCTGTGTGTCCTGCTGAAATCTCCTACGTCCACGTGGCTGAAGAATGCACTGGATTCTCAGTTTCCAGCTTGTCTTAATCATAAAATCATACTTGTCTGGGTGTGTCTAAAAATCGTGGACACCAAACATGGCATGGGAAAAATGATCATGAATCATGATGAACCATGAAATTTGAAGGTTTTCCTTGGCCCCTGAAATTTCAAACAAGCAAACTTAGTTCAGCGTGAGCGACCAGGTGGAATCTGAGGTGTCCAACAGGCAGGTTCCAGCGGCATGTTGCGCCGCCATCTGGGGCTTTTCCTGCAGCCACAGAAAAACAAAAACTGGATGGACAATGACTATGGCACAATGGTTAAGGAACCACAATGCATGGAGATGCATATCATCATATCCAAGTACACAGCTGGGGGCCTTCTTTGAGTTCGTTTGAAGTTTTTTGAATATGTCTGGGCCAAGATTTGAAACCGTTGGTGATTCACAGCTGAAAAACAAGAGGGCACATATCAAGAAGTATATGTGATCCCATACGCATTTCAAAGCTCAAGGATAGTGAGTCTTGATGCTTGGTGATGCTTTGCCTTCGTTTGAATCAGATTTTCCAACCCAAAGGACCAGAAATCAATGATTGCTTCATCATGTTGGGGTTCGATTTCAACATCAACACTTTCCGAACTTGCGACACTTTTTTAATCCAGGCTGTGTACTTGGAGGGGCAGCCCAGGAATCGTTAATTTTTCCAACAGGAAACACCAAAGTTGTCATCACCGGAAACATAATGAGGATCTATCGGAATTCTGGGTGCCTGATTTACAGTCAAAGCCCAATCATATTGTTGGTTTATCGATGTGATTTTATGTCCCAATTTCAATCCCATCAAATTTCTATGAATGGCTGCTTATATCCATATTTCAATTGTTTCAACCGTTTTCATCGTTGACCTAAGTGCTATGCCGTTATATTCCCAATGTTGTTTCCCATTGGGACACAGTCAATCACTTTATCAACGATTTCCGATCATGTCCTCATGAAATGGTCATTTGAATCCCATATGTGCTAGAATTAAACATTGAGTATGTGGTATGGTCATTCATCCCAAAATAGGAGTCCCTACAATGGATATATAAATCATTCTTCAAAGTGATTGATGACCCCCCGTAAATGGCTACTTGGAGGTGGCGGATATATTTCACCATGGTATGGGTTATATCCCAACTTCGAGGGGTTTCTAATCAGAGTTCTACCGTTATACTCAATAATCACCCCGGAATGAACTTGAACCCACCGCATCCACCAAATCCACCATGCCTTCTCTCTTCCCCTGTCTGATGTGCTGGACCTGGGACAATGACGTTAGGTCTATGAGAAACATCAGTTTGAATCAGATTTTACCACCAAAAGCAAAATGGATTTCACATGGCTTCACACCAGCATCAACATGTAAACAAAAAAATGCGATTTGACCGGCCAAAATTGGGATTCCATGCGAGTTGGACTTCTTATAACTGAGATGATCCAAACATGGGCCCCTGATGTGTGGCCATGTCAACGAGGAAATGATCACCCCAGGTAGGTATTGCCGTACCTATTCTCAAGACAAACCCATATGAAGTAACCCATGGTGAAACTAGTCAAACCGCACTGACAAAATGTATTTGTAATGAAATATGAAAAGCATGTCTTTGCCGAGGTACCGATCTTAACTGAAGAACTAAATCAAAGTATGGAAAGAACACGATCTTAGCTCTCATTCGCTGGGATGATTCACTGGATCCAAGTGGTAAACACCATGCAAGAAACTCTCCGGGGACTTTCTTCCCAATCCATTGCTGGTTTATCGGATGGTCTGTGATGGTCTGCGATGGTCTGTGATTTTGGGTTTACACCATTGAGAGGTTAATGACCCCTTAATATGACTTGGGTATATTAAAAACTAGGTCAAGAAACAACTTCGGTGCCTTGAGCCCCGCCTTGTCACCACGGGTGGGGCTTCAAGTTCTCCAGGGTTCCTCTAAAGGCTGCTGGTGTCAACTCATCCATATGAAAGTGGGATCATCCCGGGTATGGAGATAACCAACGGGTACTTATTTAGAAATCAGTGAAATCACTAGGCAGACGCAATTCCGACAATAATAATGTTGGGTATGAAAAATATTTCCCACATCAACCACTCAGCAGTGAGTGAGTTTCCAGTGCCAATTCATTGAGAAGGGCTGCCTCGCCATCAGGTCTTGGACGATGCTTGTCGTGCTTGACCTGACGGACCACACGGACCGGAGAACTTTCAGATGGGAAAAGTGGTGCAAGTTTCAGAACATGACAGAACTGTGCTTCCCTACTTTTTAAATGCCGACCGATGAATGATCGTTTACCTTTCTATCGACTTGGGGAGTTCATAGCAAGAAGCATCTTGAAAGTCCAGATCACAAACACTACAATCTTGCAAACTTACGCTGAGTCCCCAAGAAACAAAACACACATGGCAAACTTTCAGTATGATTTACTACTTGGTTTACCACATTAATTAATCCTCTTTAACCAGATAGAACTGTCATTGGCGCCAACTTGAGATTCATACTGGAGTGATCTGAGGAACGTTTTGAGAAAACCATGTTTTGTAGCATCAAATATATTGTGGCGTTTCCGGTTTCAATTTCTGTTCCAATAGTGAGGCGCACCGCGCGCCTCATAACCCCAGGGGGAGAATTGACATCGACAAAGTCGTCGCTTCACCTGTTGCCAGGGATTCCCAAACCATTTGTATCCATGGATCCACTTGCCAAGTGCTCACAAGAAATCAACTATCAAGTTGGTTAGTTATACAAGTTATCGAAGGAAGTTTGGAAGTCAAACTTCTGACAAGATGGACCGATGGAAAAGCAGAGGTGGGAAGAGTCAGAGAAGAGAAGAGAAGAGAAGAAGAGAGCAGATCAGAGAAGAGAAAGAGTCAGAAGAAAGAAGATCCAGGCGCGCGAAAAGGTAGAAAAGTCGCAGATCACTATGTTTTTCCAATGATTTGTGGCTCCGGAGGGTCGAAAAGAAGGCTCGCTAAAGCGGCGGGTGTGGAGCCAGCTGGCCAGATGAGAGATGGAAACTAAACTTGCACGCCGTTGTGCCGCGAAGGATATTTCCAACTCAAAATGTACAACACACCTCGTGCTCGGAGCACTTTTCAAGTCAAAATGCACAAACACCTCATGCTCGCAGCACTTTTGGAGTCGAAAAAGTGCAGGCTGTTGTGGCACGAAGCACATTTCCAAGCCAAAATGTGTACAAGAGACACCATTTTTGGAGCACTTTTGGAAGTTGACATGTCGAAAAAGTGCACGCCGTGTTGGCGCGAAGCACATTTCCGAAATGCACAAATCACCCCATGTATGGACCACTTTTGGACGTTCAGATTGTGCACTTTGTCAAAAGTAAACAAAACGTGCGGGTTTGGAAGCAGTTTCAACAGGGTTGGCAGGTGTGGGACATTTGAAGAGGATCTGCAAAGATACATTTTCCGTGGCAGGCGCAGTACAAGAGACATGTTCATCAGAGATGTTAGGAGGTCTGGGCGCTGAATTCGTGAGAGGGGTTGCATTTTGGAGCATCAGATCTTCAGTTCTGGGAAGATGATTTTGCATGACAGGTGCAGGCATCACTTTTTCGCGGCAAGCGCAGCACTTTAGACAGGTGGAGTGGAAAAATCGCAAGATGCATTGGTACAAGGCCGTCAGCTCTGCACTCAACTTTCCATTATTGAAGGATGCCTCGCAGAATTGCTTCGTTTTTGATGTTGTCAAGTTCAAAAATTGAGGAAGTCTCGCAGAATAGCTTCGTTTTCAAGCTTGCTTAGATTAGATTAGATTAGATGAGATTAGATTAGGTTAGATTAGACGAAATTAGATAAGATAAGATAAGATAGATAGATAGATCGATGGATAGATAGCTAGATAGAAAGCTAGAGATAGATAGATAATGATAGATAGACAGACAGACAGACAGACAGACAAACAGATAGACAGACAGACAGACAGATAGATAGATAGATAGATAGACAGATAGAGAGCTAGAAAGTTACATAGATAGATAGATGGATAGATAGATAGATAGATACATAGATAGATAGATAGACAGTTAGATAGATAGATTAATGAGAGAGAGAGAGAGAGACAGAGATAGATAGACAAATATAAACCCCCCCCCCAAAAAAAAATATATATATATATAGAAAGAAAGAAAGAAAAAAGAAAGAAAGAAAGGAAGAAAGAAATATAGATAGATAGATAAATCATCCAGCAGTTGTGGTGAGGTGACCACTGCAGCCATAGCATCCAACTCCAACCACCTTTCGGTCCATCAGTGGATTCGCTCTGCCATCCATGATTCACAACAACCAACCTCTCCTAAAGGTTTCTTATTTTTGTTTCCACCACCGCCTCGTGCGGTACTACTGGTACTTGGTGAGGTATTTATGAACTTATTCTTGCAGCACTTATTCTTGAAACACTACGATCTTGCAAACTTACGCTGAGTCCCCAAGAAACAAAACACACATGGCAAACTTTCAGTATGATTTACTACTTGGTTTGCCACATTAATTAATCCCCTTTAACCAGATAGAACTGTCATTGGCGCCAACTCGAGATTCATACTGGATTGATCTGAGGAATATCTTGAGAAAACCATGGTTTGTAGCATCAAATATATTGTGGGGTTTCCGGTTTCAATTTTCTGATCCAATAGTGAGGTGCACAGCGCACCTCATAACCCCAGGGGGAGAATCGACATCGACAAAGTCGTCGCTCCACCTGTGCCGGGGATTCCCAAACCGTTTTTATCCATGGATCCAGTTGCCAAATTCTCACAAGAAATCAACTATCAAGTTGGTTAGTTATACAAGTTATACTTGGTTAGTGATTTATGAATTATTCTTGCAGCACTCAAGTATCATATTAAATTGGTTACTAATATTCGATATACTGATTAGTTACAATGTCATGTGAAGCCTCATCCAACGCGAAAAATGAGCTTCCCTGTCCGATGTTTTCCTTCGGGCCCGTGCACCTCACAGGCAAAGTGGGAGAACCACCAACACCGACTTCATCACTTGACCTGGCAAACTTTCAGAAGTAATTCTCACAATTATCATTTCGGGCGGGTATCGAAAATTTTTCAGTCGGGGCTCATGATTTTCATCAATCAACCACTCAGCATTCAGTTTCCATTCCAAATTCTTCGCAGAGCTGTACCTCGCCATCAGGTCTTGGACGATGCTTGTCGTGCTTGACCTGACGACCACACGGACCGGAGAACTTTCAGATGGGAAAAGTGGTGCAAGTTTCAGAACATGACAGAACTGTGCTTCCCTACTGTTTAAATGACGAGTGATGAATGATTGTTTACCTTTCTATCGACTTGGGGGGCTCATAGCAAGAAACATCTTGAAAGACCAGATCACAAACACTACGATCTTGCAAACTTACGCTGAGTCCCCAAGAAACAAAACACACATGGCAAACTTTGAGTATGATTTACTACTTGGTTTACCACATTAATTAATCCCCTTTAACCAGATAGAACTGTCATTGGCGCCAACTTGAGATTCATACTGGATTGATCTGAGGAATATCCTGAGAAAACCATGGTTTGTAGCATCAAATATATTGTGGGGTTTCCGGTTTCAATTTTCTGATCCAATAGTGAGGTGCACGGCGCACCTCATAACCCCAGGGGGAGAATTGACATCGACATCGACAAAGTCGTCGATCCACCTGTGCCGGGGATTCCCAAACCGTTTTTATCCATGGATCCAGTTGCCAAATTCTCACAAGAAATCAACTATCAAGTTGGTTAGTTATACAAGTTATACTTGGTTAGTGATTTATGAACTTATTCTTGCAGCACTCAAGTATCATATTAAGTTGGTTACTAATATTCGATATACTGATTAGTTACAATGGCATGTGAAGCCTCATCCAACGCAACGAACGAACTTCCCTGTCCGATGTTTTCTTTCGGGGCCGTGCACCTCCGGGCCCTCCGGGCCAAAGTGGGAGAACTACAAGCACCGACTTCATCAGATTTTTCAGTCGGGGCTCATGATTTTCATTAATCAACCACCCAGCATTCAGTTTCCATTGCAAATTCTTCGCAGAGCTCTGCTGTACCTCGCCATCAGGTCTTGGACAGTGGCTGTGGTACTTGACCTCGCGGTTCTATGGACTTGGGGGCTCATAGCAAGAAACATCTTGGAAGACCAGATCCCCTTTAACCAGATAGAACTGTCATTGGCGCCAACTCGAGATTCATACTGGATTGATCTGAGGAATATCTTGAGAAAACCATGGTTTGTAGCATCAAATATATTGTGGGGTTTCCGGTTTCAATTTTCTGATCCAATAGTGAGGTGCACAGCGCACCTCATAACCCCAGGGGGAGAATCGACATCGACAAAGTCGTCGCTCCACCTGTGCCGGGGATTCCCAAACAGTTTTTATCCATGGATCCAGTTGCCAAGTTCTCACAAGAAATCAACTATCAAGTTGGTTAGTTATACAAGTTATACTTGGTTAGTGATTTATGAAATTATTCGTGCAGCACTCAAGTATCATATTAAGTTGGTTACTTATATTCGATATACTGATTAGTTACAATGGCATGTGAAGCCTCATCCAACGCAAAAAACGAACTTCCCTGTCCGATGTTTTCTTTCGGGGCCGTGCACCTCCGGGCCCTCCCGGTCAAAGTGGGAGAACTACCAGCACCGACTTCATCACTTGACCTGGCAAAAACCGGGGATTCCTATAATTAAATTCGGAATGACCTCCATAAGCAGTCATCAAGAAGTGCAGCATTTGTTTGAAATGAAGATAAAACTGTGTTCAAAGAGACTTACAGCTGTGCAAAGCTCTCTTAAGAGGTGAAGGAGGACAGCATTACGACAGAATGGAGCCCTTAAGTAACGTTTCTAACTGATTTTGGTATTCCTAAAAAACAGTCTTGGTGCAAGTATGTGCAAAGCCTCCTTCACAAGGGAGCGAACCATTTGATTGAAAACCATGCAATAATACAAAGAACACTACTATGAAGAGTATTTTTTGAAAGATACAGTTACAGGTCATGGTTGTATGTATGCAAAAATGCCATTCCATATGAGTGAAACATCTGAACAACAGAGGCAACACGATTTTGAAGAAGTAAAATCTCTAATTTAAAGACAACGTCAGGCAAAAGAAAATTAGAGGGAGGATGAACTTTCTTATTTAAGGTTTAAGGGAATACCTTGTCTTCAAGGCAATTTTTTTGAAGAAGTGAAGTCTTCCTTACAAATGGTCATACTAGAAAAATGACAAGAAGGAACTCCATTAAAGCATGTATTTAATCTCTCTTTCTCGCAGGAATAGTGCTTTTTATTTCGAACAAATACAGTATGATTGAGCGAACGCCGCGGAATTTTCTGAAGTAAGACTCGCTTCTTCAGAAAGGAACGTTGCATTTTTAGAGGAATGCTCTATATTTTGTAGGCATCCTTCTTCTTTAAAGGGCTCTGCTCTTTACATTGTTCTTTACTTTTGTCTACTGTATTCAAATTCCCCAAACAGTGTGTCCACACTGAGGGTTTCTTACGGTAAGGGTTGATGCCGGTGTTTGATCGAGGTGTTCGCTTTGGTTTCCCGCGTTTTTTCCTGTAAATTCTCGTAAAAAATGGGTCTAAAATTGCTCTTGTGAGATGTCCATGTGCATTTCGACTGCTCAGGCTCGCACAAAGTCTGCCGTGCGAGTTTGGTTTGCTCTGGTCTGCGGCCTTTTACCTGAAAATTTCTGCATAAAATGGCTCTTGTGACATGTCCATGTGCATTTCGGCTGCGCAGGGTCGTGCAAAACGTGCGGCGGTGGTCTGGCTTGCTCTTGGCCTGCGGCCTTTTACTTGTAATTTTCTGCATAAAATGGCGCTTGTGACATGTCCATGTGCATTTCGCTTCGGCATGCTCGCTGAAAACGTGCGGCGCGGTCTTGGCCTCCGGCGTTTTACCTGTAAATTTCGGCATAAAATGGCTCTTGTCACATGTCCATGTGATTTTCAACTGCGCAGGATGGCACAAAACGTGCGGCGCGGTCTTGGTTTGATGATGTGGAGATGATGTTGAGGATGGTCATGTTGAGGAGGATGAGGATGAGGATGAGGATGAGGATGATCATGCGGAAGATGGAGTGGAAGATGATAAGGTGGAGGATGATGATGTTGCGGAAGATGAGGTGGAGGATGATGATGTTGAGGATGATGATGTTAAGGGGGAGGAAGATGATGATGTTGAGAGTGATGATGTTGAAGAGGAGAACGATATTCAGGATGATGATGTGGAGGAGGAGGAGGACCGATCGATCCCAAGAACGCGACAACCGTTTTGTGCGAGAGCCTGCGCAGTTGAAATCCACTTGGACATTTCACGAGAGCCATTCTGTGCAAGAACTTACAGATATTTTTTTGCGGAATCTTACAGGAAAAATGCCGGAGCCTGAAGTGGCTCTTGTGAAATGTCCAAGTGCATTTCGACGGCGCAGGCTCGTACAAAGTGTGGCCCCCCGGTCTTGGGCATCGTCCTGCCCCACATCATCCTCAACATCATCATCCTCAATATCATCCTCCGCAACACTATCATCTCATCATCATCATCATCACCAACACTATTATCATACATTATCCTCCCACCCCCCTGTTTGGGGTCTCTTGCCGAGATAACTAAGAAATGTATGTGTATATGTTTTTTTTTTTTTTTGTGGCGTTATTCACCGTTTAAAAGGTGGGTCTTGGGGAGTAGCTACTATGTATGTGTATATATGTATATATATATATTTGTATGTCTTTATATATACTGTATGTCTATCTATATATATATGACTAATCTGATAGTTTGTGGATGCAATAAATGTTTCATTTTACTGTAGGTACCATTTTCAATACCTATTCTGATTGAACATGCAACACATTCAATCAACGGTCATGAGATAAAATTAATAGTTACTACATGCTGTGTATATATATATATATAAATTGTATTCCTATTACATTACATATCAGTACGCAACAGAACTAATATTAATCATAGTGACCTTTAGCAAGCAAACAGTTACTACGCATGATGTGTAGATTGTTTTGCAGGTTGACATTCCCTTCTTCGGGATTGTAGGGGTTTGTAGGCATGCTCCTTGCCAGACTTTGGAATGTGTCTTAAGTACTTCCTTTGCCCATCAAAGAGATATCAGGAAACAAGAACCTGAACAACTAAATTCGGTCACCGGCAAAAACAACTGAACACTTAGGTTGGCTGGTAATTTTTTTTGATACCTGACAATAATCTTCGAGATGATTCTGGTCGCCAGGCTCCCATCCCTGAGTTACGAAGGTGCCCAGATGTTTCTTCAGAGGTTAGATTCATATTGCCATGTATGGTAGTTATGGCAGTACTAAACTTTAGTGAAAGAACTACCCACCACCGTATATTTTCATCCAACTTTTCTATGGCTGCGGGCCGGAGGTTGCCCACAACCAGCTCAAATCCCGGACTCAACGCTGTGGTGGCGCCTGGGTGCCAGGATTTTCTGCTGCATCCCCAATCGATCTTTTGGACCTGGAAGCTGCACGGATTCCAGTCCTTTGGGGAGTGGCCGCTGCACACTTTCAAGTCCGGGCTTTGTACAGCCTTGACACATCACCCAAAATAATGATTTCAGTCTTACTGCAAACTCAACTGGCATATCCCTGGCCCAACATGTCACCCAACTGAGCGCGTTAAAAGGATGATATCCCATTGACCATCGAGAATTGATCATCAAAACATGGGAGATCACGCCAAGGTAGTCTACAAGTCCCAATATTAACCAACCAAGGGATTTCAAATGGCTCAGGTTGTCTTGCCTTCGAAATTTCAAGTTTGAGGTGGTGTGTATCTGGTTCACATTGCGGAACCATATTTCTTGGTTAACTCTTCGGCCTGTGCTGGTTCAATCAGCAATTTGGGTGGTTGATTGGCCAATTCTTGTTTGAACGATCCACTAATTTCCAACTTATTGAATGAGTAAAATCCCTTCTTACAAAATTCGAAGATTCTTCCCATTGTTAGACTTCTTCCACTAACGGCAGATCATAGAAATCCGAAATGATGGCCGCATCCCATCTGCTTGGCTGGCCAAAGTGGGGCGATTGTAATCCCAAAGGAATTGGTAACTGCTTGGTGGCTGAGCCAACCACTGAAAAATATGTCAGTAGAATCATCCCATCTCTAGGGTTGAAGATAGACATATGTTTTGAAACCAGCAAATCATTGGTGTACAATTGCATGAATTGTTGGTAAACTCACAATTGTTGCTTGTATCTCCGTTTTTGGTCCGCATTAATTGAAAGATAAACATCTTTAAAACTCAATGTTTGATCATCATGAGTATTCATTAATGCGGGGAAACCAATAATAACCTACAATTTGGGGATGATAGTTGCCGACCATGGTTCTTTATTGGGTTTACCCCAATATATCCAATTATGTTGGTGAAAGACCAATTTCGATGGTTCACATCCCCAGGTATCCATGGACCACCCAGCCTTCTGGCTGATGCGCTCCAAAAGTCAGGCATGGGGGGGCTGACTTTTTCCGCCTTCGTCCTTTCGTCGAACGCACGATCAACATGGGGATGAATAACCAAGAAACACCAGGATTTGATAGATTTCACCAACAAGGAGGTATTCAATCAGTTCTAAAAAAATCATGAGAATCTAAGTCACAATTTTCAGACTTATCCGAGATGACCTAGAGAATGTCACAATAAACTATGGATTATCTGGGAAATATAGATCAATAAGCGATCTGGCACTGCAGCCTGGCCGATGGGAGCAGAAGGCATGAGTGCCACTGTCAAAATATTACATCACATCGTCCAAATGTGAAAATGCAAAGGCTGGACGGCTGAAAATCATATCAATAGACCTGCACCTTGGCTTTGTCTGAAAATAAGGGGTTCCATGGTTTGCCATCATTCCCTCTAGTAAACTTGCCATACGTAGATGCCATTTTCAGACACACATGCGTTGGACATTCGCGTTGGGCGAAGCATTTGCACCAAAAAACGGCAACTTCAATGGCAATGATCAGCTTCTCAAATGAACCGAAAGTCATTTTGCTGATTTATAGATGCCATCATTCCAAGTAGAGCCCGGGCAAGCCGGGTGACTGAAGTTTCGAGAGAGGGAAAAGCCGAAAAAGACAAGGAAGAGCCCATAGGAACGGCCCCTGCCTGCCTGGCTGGCACGGTTGTTGACTCCGTGATCTCTTGCAAGTCTTGGTCCTTGACATTTCCTGCTTTCGGCATCTTTGTCTGATGATTTCACTGTCTCTTGATCTGGCTTGCGCTTGTCATCTTTGAATCTTGACAACCCTTCCTGTTGCCTGCTGTTTGTCTGGACGTCTGTTTTCTTGCTGACATTTCTCTTTCAACTTCCTCTTCTGATAATGGCACTTTCGCACTTTCTCTCCATCCGGTTTGCGGTTGTCATCTCTGAATCTTGATAGCCTGTTTCTTGTTGACAGCTCAGGAGCCTGCGACCTGACCCACTCTGCTCTCCTGACAAAATTCTTTCCCTACTCTCTTCGCCCCCCTACTCTCTTCACTGCTGTTTCCCTTCTGTTTCCTACTTTCTTCAGTGCCCTACTCTCTTCACTTCCCGTGCGATTCCTACCCTCCAAACATCACTTTGACGCAGCAAGCCCATTGCGATCTGCAATCACTGGCCTGCAAATACCTGCAAATCACAAAACAACTACCTCGATTCCCGCGGCAATCAACAACATGGATGCAGCCATTCCACTGCAATCAGCACACCTGAACTCAACTTTACAGTGGAGGACGCGTCCGAGCGCAAAACGAACGAAAGCAACACCTGTCGCACAAACAAGGTTCCCCACATCGACGCTGAGAGCCACTTTATGCGAGAAAACATAGGGTTTCGTGTGATTCCTACCCTCCAAACATAACCTTGTCTACTTTTTCACATCTCTGCTCTCGTCACTTCTCTACTCTTTTCACTTCTCTACTTTCTGCACTTCTCTCTGCTCTCTGCACACCTCTACTCTCTTCACATCTCTGCTGCTCTCTTTACATTCCATTGTTGTATTGTTGTGGTGATGTATTCTCGTAGTGATGTATTGTTATGGTGAAGCATTATTAAAGTGATGTATTGCTGTTATGATGCATTGGTGTCATGATGTATTGTTGTAAGGGTGTATTGTTGTGATGATGCATTGTTGTGGCGATGCATTGTTGTTGTGATTTGTATTGTTGTGATGATGTGCTGGTGTGATAATGTATTGTTGTGCTGATGTATTGTTAAGGTGATGTTATTTTGATAATGCATTGTTGTGGTGATGTATTTTTGTGGTGATGTTTTGTTGTGGTGGTGTATTGATCTTATGACATATTGTTGTGATGATGTATTGTTGTCACATTTGCACTGCCGGTATCGCGGAGTTTAGACTTCTAAACTTCCTTTGACCAGAAAAAATCTACATCATATCTCCGATATATTCCCGTAAAATTGCGAGTCAAACGCGCTAGGAACACAGTTTCCGGCAACTTAGGGTACCAGGCCACTGCTGGAACTTAGTGGTGCCTTCCCCAGGGAAGAAGTTCGTCATTGATATGCTTGATCATAATACATATTTGAAACCACCAGCCAGATAAACTATATAATGAATCAACATTTCCGTTTGAACAGTGTTCAAAACCGTCTGTCATCCTTTGGTACAGTTAGGCTAAAGGAGCTTCCCAGTTCATGGGTGATGAGAATCGTAGAATTCTCCAACCAATCATCAACCAACAGGTTTTTCTCACCCGTGTCGGGTTGCATCCGTGGGCCTCCGCCAGTGGGCTGTGGATCTTCAACATGGATAAAAGTGTTTTTCACCAGGACAAGGTACACAACCTCCAGATCCTGCGGGTGGTGGTGAAATTTCCCTGCACAAAAGAACCTGATCCAAACCACGGACCCGAATGCACATGACCTAAGACGCTTTTCCAAAGCGACTACTTGCAACAGACTTGCAAATTCTTCCCCTTGCACCATACCATTGAGACTGTGCAATTTTGGGTGGAGAGTGTAAAGTGTGGAATGCAAAGTGTAGATACAGCGTACAGTGTGGAGTGGGGACTGGGGAGTGTAGAGTGTGGAGTGGAAAGTGGAGAATGCAGAGTGTAGACTATGCAGTGTGGAGTGGGGGAGTGTGGAGTCAGGAGTGCATGGTGTGAAGTGTAAAGCCTAGAGTGTGAAGTGTCGAGTCTAGAGTATGGAGTATGAAGTATAGAGTCTAGAGTGTGGAGTGTAGAGCACAGATTGTGGAGTGTAGAATGTAGTGTGTGGAATGTACAGGGTAGAGTATGGAGTGTAAAAAGTGGAAATGGGGGGTCCAGAGTGTAGTGTGGAAGTTAAAGCGTAGAGTGTGAAGTGTAGATTGTGCAGTGTGTAGTGTAGAGTGCGGCATGTAAGTTGTGAACTTTAAAAGTCTTGAGTGTAGAGTTTCGAATGTTGAGAGTTGAATGCCGTTGCCAATCTGTTCATCGCCGTTGCAGCTTGACCAAATATCGCGTCACGCGACATGGCACGAAAGACCGGTGCAACATGGCACCCCGGGCGGCCGCACCAATGGGGCAAGCGTAAACTGCAAACACACTTTATACTGCAGGTGTCCCAAGTACTGCACCTGCCGCGAAAAGTGACACTCGTGCGCCCGCCATACGTTTTCACATTGTCTGCACTTGACGCTGCAGGTCCAAGGCGATTTGCAAACAATGTGCAACATCACACGTCTAAAGTGTTGCGCCTGCTACGAAACATGGACATCAACATTTTACGTGCTGCGCGTACTACGAAAGATGAAAGTCATCCTATCAAGACCATTCAAAAATATTGCGCCTGTCACACCAAAAATACCGACGCATGATCACACACGTCTGATGTCACAAAGTGCCACGCCTGCCACGCAAAACAACGCATTGCCAGCGACACAGCCAGACCGCCTTCGTTGCGAATTGTTGCGGTTGGACAGCCTTGAAGCGAGCACACCACCCCCCGGTCCCACAAAGACAAAGGAGAACCCTTTGCTACGCATTCGGGAAACAGATTTTGGATAGAATTTTCCTAGGATTTCTGGAAGATTCCGGTGATTGAATGATGGTCACTGGAGACTATGTCCACAAAATACTGTTGAGTATCAAAAGTTTTCAGTAGGTGATGTAAAGCACACATATGAAAACTGGTGACGCAATGCTGTCAACCCGCTGACTCTGCTCAAGACAGAACGCCAAGTGAAGATACTTGGCAAGAAATCTCAAGAGTCCCACACCTGATTTCTTGGGTTCAATGAGTGATTTCTTCTTGACATCTCTTGAGATTCAGGATGTTGTGGCTCATCCGAAAACGGTGCCCTCCTGCTACTGGTCATGGGGAGTCACTGGCCTGGGGGAGGTTGTCCTAGTATATCCCATAGCACGATCATGATGGTTGGCTTTCTAACTGCATTTTTGGTCAAATCGCCTGGCTCCCAGGAGTGTGGTTGAAGAAGCCCACTCCCTCGATTTCCATTCAGTCCAGATAGAACATCTGGTTGGTGGTATACCTACCCCTCTGAAAAATATGAGTTCGTCAGTTGGGGTGACTATTCCCAACTGAATGGAAAGTCATAAAATTCATGTTCCAAACCACCAACCAGACATGATTTTACCACTGTTTCGTGGGATTCTACTCCCATCCCGAGCCAGGACACTGGGAGTAGGCGAAATTCATAGGCATCCTGGCTATCGCCTGGATAGCGGCATGGCGAATTGAACCATCAACGGGAGATTTCTTTGGCAACAAACCATAGGGAGTAAAGCATCAACAGTAGGGACTCAACAAATTTAATCATCAAACATGATCAAACATGTGCATTTTTCAACAACAATATGGTGGTATTATCGGGGTATTTCATGGGAATAGAATGGGGAAGATATCAGTAGTATTACCTTCGGGTGTCATCAAACATGGCTAGACCCCTGAACCAAACAGGCATACAATGTATATATACATATATACATATACATATATATATACATACATATATATATACACACATATATATATATACATATATATATATATATACATATATATATATGTACATACATATATATATACATATATATATATATATATCAGATGTGGGACAATCACCGAACTAAATGAGGATTTTCGAGCTAGCCATATTTGATTACCCAAGGGTAATGGATCATATTGATATATTGGGGATGATAGCTGGAATTCTTGTGTATAAGGTAATAGTGAGCAACCATAGCAATAGGTAATAATTGGAAAATAATTGAAAATAGTATCCCATAAGAATTACAGTATTGTTTCAATGATAGCAATATCCCAAAATAACTGGAAATCAATTCTATCATTGTCAGAATACGGATCTCTTTGGGGCATCCCCCACAAATAGCGGATGGTGAAGTTTTTTTTTTCCGGGGCAATTCTAGAAATGTTATGACCTTGGTGTGCGGGAGAATCCAAGATATCTCACAGTATCTACCATTCATTCGAGAATTGGTTAATGGTTCATAATATGTTTACTGCTATGGTTAATATAGTGGTTACTAATGGTTAATGGTTAATAATATCAATCCACTCAATTGATAATATCTGGACAATAAGAGCAACATATCGACACCGTTAGGGGCGCATACCCCATTGATAGTCCAACTGGTGATGATGGAGAATGGATAATATTCCACGGTTATGATAAGATAGTGAAAAAGTGCTTTTTAGAAATTATGTCTTTGTTATACATTGGATAATATCAAGAACTAACAATTGAATACTATTTTGAATAGCCCAGTGAAATAATATGAACTCAACGTGTTGTTTCATGATTTAATAAATGAGGATGGGGATAAACATCATGATAGACGGATGACATTTCTGGGAGATGGAGAGAATCAGCTTTTCTACCGTGTTTACTTGTCAACCTTTTCTGGTGAATCATCTTTCAAGTGAGTCTCCAAATATGCAAAGAATCAGGCCATCATCTTGTTTAGTACGTAGAATGCTTGGGGATCTTCAAGATGGTGCTCCTGCCTCTGTGGTCAACCATACTGGAGCACCACACAAGGGAAAGTGGAGGAACCCGTCGCCAGCCAAACGGCTTCTGATTTCAGGACACGGCTCAAATTGTTGGGCACAATTTCCTGGCCTTTCGTTTCAAGCCATCCCGTTGTCTTGTTGCGCAACCTCTATGAACCATGTCCGATGCTCAATTTCTGCACTGGAGACCCATCTATTTTGAGACTTCAACCCAGCTAGCTATCAAAATCCGATTTCTAGCTACATCCCCGATCTTGCTTGGTCAAATCTGGGCAACATCCATTTCTAACAGTTGATGTTTAGGCCATGTTTAGCACAGCCTTCTTTCCGGCCACATTGACCCAGCTCAACCTGTCACCCAAAAAACCTTGCCTTTTTCACGGCTCATTTTGGGTCATTGGCATACCTGGAAGGATCCCAATGAACCGGTGGTTTTGCCACTACTCGGTCTTATGGCCAGATTCATAATATCACAACTACATGTATAAATATGTATTATATATATATATGTATTACATATATATGTAAAATATATATATATATGTATATATATATTATATGTATATATATATATACATGTATGTAGATAAAGATAATACAATATCTGTATAGCTATATGTGGATGTATTTTGATATTTGTATATATGTCCATATATCTACACAAGTATATTATTTCCACAACACCGGGACACCCCCAGAGGAGCCACATCTTGTGGCGCGCTACCGACCGAATTGACTTCGCGCTACGTCTTGTGGCGCGGACGAATTAGTGGCGAATCTGTTTCAGCCAGGACGGGAGGTTCATGGAATCCTGGCGGCTGCAAAACACTAAGGGAATTGAGGGAAAAGAATCCAATAAATATGATGTAGTATGGTATAATGGGATATATATCTAAAATGGAGATATAGTACAATCCAATATAATTTCTTAAAATCGGAGACATAGTACAATGGGATATATAGAAATGATCCATGGGTATTTCGGATTGACCATGGATTGATGGATTAGATGGACTACAATTTCTGAGACAGGCAAACCTGTCGACAATTTCTGTAGCTTTGTCATTTGAAGGACTCCATTTTTGCACAAGGGTCTTACTGGAAGATAAGCTGTGTGCTTAGATTCTGCCAAACTAAGTGCTAAAGATTGCAGATTTAACATGGCACTCCAAGAAACCACAGAATACATATATTTTTTCCATCATTTTGGCACTTTGGAAGGTGCTCCAATACTTTACCATAGACTGGCCGATAGGTGGGTCCGCAAGGTTTATGGTGGATACATCCTGATATAGTTTTTTTTTACATCCTGGTTTGGTTTCTCGGTCGATATCCCACTGTATTTTCATTCTGTCCCTGACTTGCGGTTGGTAGATCATCGAGGTAAATCACCGATCATTTTGGTTTGTTAAAGCAATCTAGCGGGAGGCAAGTGAAGTTTAAGTTGATTCAGAAGTTTGTTGAAACGAGGGTTTCCTGGTGGATATGCCATAAACCTCACTTTTTTTGAATGGGTTTGCAGAATAATAATATCATACTTCTGCCTTACTTACAACGGTATCAACGCTGCAATTCTCCTATAAATCCACCGGGTCATGTTGATTTTCAACATCATGATGGCGGTAGGGAGTAAATCCTCTATTTTGAGCCACACCCAAATTTCCATATTGTTGGCTTGGTATATCCCATTGTAAAATATCCGATACCCATTTTATTCCCATTAGCTTTTTGGTTACACCTTGTTTTCTACGGTTTCCATATGATATCGCGATATAATCTCATTCTCCCATAGTATTCCAGATTATATACCCTCAAAATTTTTATCAACATAAAATTGTTGGTTAATTTCATAAACCAACACGACTGGAACTCCCTGAAATCGGTCGTGGTGGTTGCCTCAATACTGGCAATAGTCTTGGAGATAGCCTCGGCCATACCTGACCTGAAGGCAAGCCGAAGATAGATTCACTTAGCGTGGCATGGATAAACCTGGAAGCTCTTTTTTGATGAGGATTGTATTGAAGAGGATTTATACTGATTGATTAGATTTAATATGGCCAAAAAATAATGAATAAGATGAGGTTTTCTTGCATGAATGGTGTCTTTTTTTGCACGGATTCAATGAAGCTTTAGTAGATGAAAACGTGGAGAACCTGGTCATCGACGCAACTCAAACATGGATCCGTCAAACATGGAGTCCTGGAATCTGGCAGTGTCCCAACACTATGAATCTGTCCAAAAACGGGGTATCCCATTTTTGGGATGACTTTAGGACATCAAAATCCTGCTTAAGCCTGGGATCGCCATTTTTCTTAGTCAAACTGCAAGAAACTCGGGCATTGTCGTAAACACCAAAGCATAAACCATCCCCCAATATGACCACAAATGGGTATAAACATGTATGAACCATCTCCAAATGCTAGGTTGATGGCTGGGTTTACTCCCATGATACTCTCATTTATTGTTCATGGTCAATCTTTCATAGTCCACAAAGAATTAATCTTTTGCTGGTTATGGTTATCTTCCATTTAGTTCGCAAAAAACCCAAGGATTAAGTTAGCCATCCAGTTGCTAGGGGATGTGTTGGTAAAATATCTCTAGTTCCTCTAGTTTTGATGGTTTCACATGGTTTCAGCCCCATATTTTGCTGCCCCAATCTTGAGGGAACCATCGACCACCGCTCGTTGTGGAGTTGGGCCTTTCTGACGAAGCACCAGGCCTAAGATCCAGATGAAGATGGTAAGAAGGGGATGCCCGCTATCAAAAAGTGGGTCTTTTTAAGAGGGTTCCCCGAGTGAATCCGATGTATGGCAGGACATATATGGACATATGAGACTTGCCAAGATGAAAATGGAGTTGACCCATTAAGCGACCAAACAAGACGTAAATGGGCTGATACACTGATGGTCCTGCACTTGCAGAATGTGAAGAACTTTTGACTCTTTTGTGCATGGTGACAGGGTCAAGACGCGGAACGCACTTCTGACCTATGATTCCCATCCTCATGAAACCAAAGAGTCATCCCCCAAGCCTGCTTTTTCCCAAATACCAAGCGGAGAACTTGGGTCAACAAACAGGTGCCTGCTGGTAATCAAACATGTTTGATTACTGAAAGGTATCATCAACAAAAATCCAGCCCTTCTGGCAACCCCAACAAAATCCATAAAAATCCTTTAACCGCCCGTTTCCCCAGTGGTTTCCAAGGCACCCGTTCGCGTTGGGACCGTTGGGGGGTGGCCCAGGCGACTCGATGCTCACATCGCGAGGACTATGGCAGTGCACCTTGGAATCGATCCAGTTGGGCAGGAAATCGGGGTGGAACTGACATCTGATCATGGCAAAAAACATGTGAAAAAAGGTCAAAACAATAATAAACCATCTCCCAAATAGTAGGTTTTACCAGTAGTACCGCACAAGGCGGTGGCGGAAGTTTCAAAAATAGGAAACCTATAGGAGAGATTGGTTGTTGTGAATCCGGGATGGCAGAGCGAATCCACTGATGGACCGAAAGGTGCTTGAGGTCTCCTCTCTTTCTCTCTCTTTCTCTGACTCTCTACCTACCTACCTACCTATCTATCTTCTATCTATCTATCTATCTATCTACCTCTCCTATAGGTTTCCTATTTTTGAAACTTCCGCCACCGCCTTGTGCTGTACTACTGGTACATCATTTATTTATTTATTTATTTATTTATATATATATATACTATCACCATATCTATACATGGAGGTTTCCATAAATGGGGGTACCCCAAAATAGATGGTTTGTAATGGACAATAACATTAACATGGATGATTTGGGTGTACCCCTATTTTAGGAAACCCCGATATCACCATTACCATGATTCTGGGTAAATTAAAATATTTCACTCACCTAAAAAAAAGGCTATTTGGGGATGATTCCCCTTACTATTCATGATTCCAGTGAGGTCGTAGTGAGGTCGTTATAATTTATCCGTATATATATATAAAGTTAGTTGGGGTTATATACAGCAATCCAAAAATATATACACCACATATATGATCAAATTATTAAAACATAAAATCAAATCATTTATTCATCAATAACTACTAGGTTTCCCAAAAACACTATTTCATATCATTTATATATCATGTACAAACCAACTAATATATACATATATATATATACACATCACCATTACCATTTATAAGTCATCCATACGCGCTGGCTATTTAACGTAGCTATGGAAAATCACCATTTTAAAAGGGAAATCATCATGAATCATCAAAAACATTTATACATGGGCCATTTTCCATGGTTAAATAACCGTTAAATAACCAGAGGGTAAATCCCAAAGAAATCCCCCAAAACGTCCGCAAAGCCAGGCGTGCGGACGTTGGGCAGCTCACCTACCTGCGAGGCCGCTTCAAAGAGGTCGGGGTCACCTGGAGCGAGGCACATTTTACAGGGGCTAACTGTTACCATAGGGTATTCAAATGGTATATCTATTGTTAGTAATAAGGAGCCAGCAATGAACCAGTAATGCTATATCTATCTCTACAAATAATATCTATTGTTTGTAATGATATATATGATATATGATGTATGTATATATATATATAGACATCTATATCTATTGATCGTATTAGCTATCCCTAAACTAACAACAGTTACACTCTGGTAAATTTACTTGTTGACTCTGAAAATCATGTATTTTTAGTTGAAACTCATCTTTCAACCCCTACCTGGCAGGGTCTCTGGGGTCTATGTTAATTTGCTGAGGGGTAAATGCTAAGGGACATCCCAACAAAAGAGGGGACAATAAACACCATCAACAAGAGGGGACAATAAAAAATGATGCTATACCATAGTATTAACATGAATTTTGGGTATATCGACGCCAATACCATGTTAATAATTTGTTGATTGTATAACATAGTATAGTATTAAAAGGCTGGTTTACCATAGTATATACACCCAAAATTCATGTTGATACCATGGCACTGTCAAACATGAGGGGTATAAGATGGTATCTGTCGAAGCATTTGCGTACAAACATTTTTTCTATAGGAAAACACAGATATAACAAGCAATGTGGTGTGGTGTTTACCAGGAACACATGCGGCTAAATCATCAAATAGGGGCTTAATCATGACATAGAAAATATATCATCAAGCTCTAATTGAACAAGAACTGCAAATGGGGGATCATTAAAACGGGGTATAACTGTTAGATGGCAATGGACATCCTAACAAAATAGAGTTTTTACCATCAAACATAAGGGTATATACAACTGCAAATGGGGATACAAAGGAAGTTGGCCATCAAAAAGAATGATATAACTAATGATCAGTGGGAATACACTATCACATGCCCACAATTTTGTGGGACCACTTAATAGATCTAGTAGTAATCCAGGGAGAGTTCAATGTGAATGGTTTGAGTAGGTTTATTACTCAGCCGCATAAACACGCAAATGGGTTACACACTTCCTCTCATAAAATAAACCCAATGAGGGGGGAAAGATCAAAACCAGTATGACTATCATGATGATATTTTGAACATTATTTTCATCATTAAAATACTTATGCACTCAATCATGGTGCTATATTAGTGACTGTCAATCAAGGTATCGTCGCCCTGGTAAACAAGAGTCAAATTGAGGATGGTAATGAATACACATATGTATAAACTGTATGTATATGTATAATTATATATATATGTTCGCTCACAATGACATTCAATAGCTAAGGTGAATTTTCTTGGAAATTTGACTAAGCGTCTGGTCAAAGTACAGTCATTGATTCTCTTTACTAAGCATCGCTTAGGGTCAGCCATGGGTCTGTGCCAAGTCGCATTGCTCATTCCGAATGGAGGATCCCTCCTGTGACGATGCGGGATGATCGCACTTTTGTGTCAAGCCTGGCTGTCATATGGACTGATGAAACTTGAGACTTTTGTTTTTTTAATCACTAAACCGCGTTGTTTTTCAAGCTGTGAGTTGTGAAGCTTATAGAGTGCATCAACCTGAAATCGATGCGGCTTGCAAAAGGAAGCCACGAAAGAAAAGGACAAATCATCAAATCCATCACTGTTAGTTCTATAACCGCTTTGGATGGTAGCATCAGCTATTCTGTCTCAAACCATCCATTTCTGAAACATCTCTCCATGCTGGGTCAACTTTGAAAGTTCGGTGTGTGGCAAAGGGCCAGGATGAACCCCCAATTCATGTCAAAAAATCACTCGTAACACAGCCATGAAACATATAAACAATCTCCATGATTCATTCAAATGATGATTTTTTTCTACATCCATGAAACATCCATCAGAATTTTCTTCATTCGATGAAGGCACCATCCCAGGTCCTGAGCTGATGCCACCAAGGTCTGGGAAGAGGATGAAAATGCTGTGAAACATGGCAACATGTGGATTTTACTCACCAAAATGAGGATTTCACTCAAAATTGATGATTTCATGTTATATTAGGAGTCCAGGAACGAGAAAAAATAGCGGCTTGACTGCCAACAGAGGGATGTCTCTGGATGAACATGGGGATATCAGCAACAAAATTGAAGGATTTCATTCATCAACCGTAGATTCATTGACAATTTTCAAAGCTTTCATCCGAGAAACTGAAGATCTTCGGTTTTTTCTTCGATTTTTTTTCTCGACCTTTGAATCCAGACTCAAGCCGTTCTGAGGATAGCATCAGTTCTTGGGGATTATCAGCAGCTTATCGGTTTATATTCATCGTTGGTGCTTTAAACATGTTGAAACTCCAACGTTTGAAGCCAGTGAAATCTACTGGCCGTGCCTTGTCTAAGTTCCAATGCATTCCCACCTGGCGAGGTTTTTCACAGCGGGCGGTGGTTTTCGTCGGATGTTTGGCGCTGCACATATTGACCTATCCCCTGCCAGCATCTGTGTGGCGATCCCCGGGGCCACCAGGTGCCCTGGCACCTCAGCAATCGGGCCGAACCTGTGGCGCCGTTGTGGAAGTTGAATTTCCAAGATCCGATCTAAAGGGGGATCCGAGATCCATATTCATGGGAAAACCAGCATTTGTAGATATAAAATCCCAGTAATTCAACCAAAGTCGTCATTTTTGTTGCTTCCCCAACTTCGGCGCCTTTCGGCATAGATCCGCAAGGCATTCTGAAGGCGCAGATAATCATTGACCTCAGCGCCGGGGTCTAACATCATTCCACTGCTTTATAGAGGGGTAGTCATTTCAATGAGTATTTACGATGGAACCGCACAAACTATGGCTGTGATCCGAGGTTGTCATTGGTGAAGTAGCTTGCAAGGGAAGAAGTAGCACTGGACCAGAACGGCTTTGGAAACCCAAACACCTTGTTGACAGGAAGCTAAAGAACAAAAACGGGGGTCATCCTCATAATATATACCCCAGTCAATGGGCCCAAAGCACCTTCTCTCTCACGAAATCGCTTCGACATATCCAATTTTAGTTGGTACAATCGCCTGAAAATTGGTCTGTCTCAAAACGGTGTAGGCCCCCGGTCATGGCAATTTTCAACAGGAAACTGAAGTTCTAAGCCATGGGGGGCTTCGGGGTAAGTTTTCAACGTGAAAAAAAAGGCACCAAACCCAGTGCTGGCAGTATCAATCTAGTTATCAAAGCCCATCAAATCACCTGTGATATTAAACCCCATTGTTAAGCCAATTATTGCCTCAATATCTTAAAAATATAGGTCCCACATGCCAATACATCCCATGAAATTCCCATGGTTGGCAAATCCCGCCGTTTCCATTTACCATTGACTTCTGCTTTGAAATCCCCAGTTACACGCATAGTTGCAGTTCAATTATATGGATGTGAAACAACTGAAGTGGTGACGGACTTCCTACATTTTCATGTTCCAAACCCATTTGCGCAGTGGACTGGAAACCCGCTGTCTTTCCAGTCTATATATACTGGATGGTATATACTAATGGAATGATAGTTTTTATATATATATCTATGTATATACATATCTGTAGTTGGCTATAATAATATTTATAGTGTATGTATATATATATATGTATACATATCTATTCCAGTTTAACCCCCCCACAATCATCAACGAACAGGGAATCCACAAAGATAATCCCGCACCCCAAGTGAAGTGAATCCATCAGACTTCTGTTTTCTTAATCCAAAGTATTAACCATTCTTAGCCATTATAAAACGCATTCTGCTTGTCAAAGTCCCCGCGATTTTTCTCAGGTCAACTAAGATAACTATGGAACATGGATTATTTATAGCTGACTTACACAAAAATAACAAAACCTATGAAACATCGTGGATTTTCCATAGCTATCTCAGTCTACTAACCGGTTGACCCGTTCCAAAAACACCGGTGGACCGTTTCCACAGCAGGTGGTCCCCAGGTGTCCCGAGCCAAACTGGCCGTCAGCACCGAGTGCACCGCCCGTTGGGAGCTGCAACCGGGGCGCAGGAGCCTCGGAGGTTTTGGAGTTCGCGTTCAGTTGCTATGGTTGTGGCTGAATTAACTATGGTTTATGGTTTGGTTTAAATTATAACCATATAAAATCATTTAGTTTAATATATATGTATATAGTTTAATGTATAATTATGTATACACATATATATCATTGCCATTACTAACAATATATCTTATCTCATCATGTACCCTCCAGTAAATTAACATAGACCCTGGCAGATAAGAGTTGGAAGATTCGTTTGTGAAATTGGTGATTCTCAGGGTCTATGTTAATATTTCATGTAGGTTTATGGTGGATTAAATGGGAGTTCATTAATGAGATTGATGGGATAGCATTTTTCATTCCCAATGATTTTGCTTAAATTCCCATGGTGTTCAGTTAATTCCCATTATGTGGGAAGATGTGCCTCTATAGGAGATATAAGCAGCAATTTTCATGGGGATATCAAGGGTATATCGCGGGGACTATATACGAATATTACTGGGACTATTATATTATAGGGATATATGATATTATTAATATAGTAATATAATGGTACTATATATAATATTACTATATTAGTAAGGGACCATTATGAGATGTACCGGTAATCAATTCGGGGATTTCCCCAGCTAGCCATGTTTGATTACCAGAGCGAGCCATGGTATTTTTCATAGCCATTCGAAATGGCTGGAGGGTAGCCAACAAAGATCCGGATTTATATAGGGATATACCCGCAATATGAGGATCAATGGATTGGTTGAAGGGACAATTTACAGAACCCCCTACATTTTATAGTGAAGACAATAGTTTTCTGTATATAGATTTTCCCTTCAACCAATTGAGTGAAAGTTAAAAATAAAATAATCGTTTAGCCAATTATCCAGTGAATCATTCAATTTATCAAGGACATATTTAATTTGTATCAATTTGATAGTATGTGTAATTTTCCAGTGAACTATGCTAACATGTCCTGAACAATCGGTCGTAGGTGATTACATATGAAGGGTCTTTATCATTTGGCTAAAGACCATCATCATAGTTTGTAAATACCATATGACAAAATAGTGACAAGTTGAGCTCAGCATCATGAATCGTTAAGTGCCATTTTGTTCTTCCTTCAGCCATATATTGGGGGTTTCCTAAAATGGGTTACACCCAAAACCATGGGTTTCAGTACTAAAATGGTCTAATTTGAGATGATTTGGGTGTACCACCATTTTAGGAAACCTCCAGATATAGAACCATTTTCTTCAATGAAAAAAACAGTACAACATCCATCCACGACAGGCCTAGCTGTAGGAAAACCCATCGATGAATGGAAATTTTCCGTTTTTTCCAAAGCCAGCTTGGATTACCAACCACTCGTCTTTCTGGAAAATTCACCAGCAACTCTGCCGCTGATTTTTCCACTGCTTTGTTCGCCAGCATTCAGCTGACATTCAACCAATTGGAAGTAGGACCCTCCACGCTTCAGCAGCTCTTCGTGGGTTCCCTCTTCCACCACCTGAGCGATGCAACTACGGTTGAGCTTGGAAGACTGGGATGTGCCGCAGGTATGAATGTATATACGTTTTTGCTGTATATACAGCAAATGAATAGAGATGTGTATATGTATATATGTATACTACTAGTATATGTAGGTTCCCCACAGGAAAGAAAAAACTGATGTTGCTCACCGGATCAACCCCTCTCCAGTGGCCTGTCCACCTTTGATCACACAGATCTTGTGGCTGTTTTTCACGGTGCTAAGGCGGTGGGCGATGATCACCACCGTCATGCAACCTGTACCGGGCAGGGATGATGGGATGAAATTTCCATGAGATTTCCATGGCAGTTCCAATGGACCTTTAGTGGGGTTAATAATAGGGATGGCATTCCAGGAGAAACTCTGGGCAACCCTATTAGCAGGGAAACAAATTTGGATCTATTTACCTCCTTGCAATCTGACAGGGTTCCAAAGCAAGCAGACAATTCTATCCTTATTGTGATCAATTTTGATGCAATCCAAATCATGTTGGCTCTAGAAAAAATCTCTAATTGTTTCCCTTTTCCGTTGTCTCGAACTGGGGAGCCCACATGAACCATGCCTCATGGTGTTCCCCAACAACAAAGGCATTTTAGGTATGGCACATTCTGACAAAAACCCATTTCCATCATCTATTGGTTCAGTCCCCTATATTGTTGGTGGTTTGAATGTACATTTTCGATGGTTCAATTCAAATTAAAGGTATATCGCCATATATACCACTTTAAATTATATCCCATTAACTCCATAATATTACCACAGGATGGGGCCTCCCAGTTATAAGTTGGTTTTTATACCATATCCACCATAGATCATAGAATTCAGCCACTTAAAAACCGACTTAGCTATCTAGGGGGCCCCACTTTGCAGTATACCCTCATATCATGACTTTCACCGTGCAACATGGGAATTCCACGGCCCAGCCTTCCTGAATCATTCCGTCGATGGCACGTTGCACCTGCCAGTGTTTTCAGTGCCAGAGCGTGAAACGGGTGGTTCATGGCAGAAATTCAATACAAAACAGACCTCAAAAGGCACTTTCTCATAGAACAAGAGCAACATGTTCCAGTTGGAAAACTTCTTTTACAGTACATATTACATATTTGGATGTTCGTTGATAACCCCGTTCATATTTGGCAATGATTGGTCATGCTGTTTGTTTGGCGTTCCCTCTAGACACTGGGAACCCGCCAGACCATTGCTGTCGGTTTTCTGGCTCATGGATTCAATCGGGTGCGGGTTGGATCGGGACGGTATAGATGGCAACCTTGCGGACTACCCCGACCATCCCGACCATCCCGACAATCCTGACCATTTATCCACGATGTTGACCCAGGATCGTCTTTGACGCTGATTCTGCGACGCTGATCCGAACCTTTGGATGTTGATTCCGGACGCTGCTCTGTGACGCTGCTCTGTGACGCTGATTCGACTCGATAGTTTCTGACCCGGAATTTAATCGGTTTCAATCCATCCAAACTTATGAGTCACTTTGAATCAGCATTCCGTTTTCAAGGATGGAAAATACAAAGGATTCAATTGTTGCTGGCAGCATTCCCTTGTTTCATGGCCCCTGTTTGTGGTTCTGCGTGATTGCTGGTGACATCACCAAATTCTTCGGAGCGGAAAAGTACTATGCGAAATCACTAATTAGTTCCGATCGAAGGGCATCATATTTTTGTTGGTGAAAGTTTCAAGGTATGGGTATGGATCAAAACCGGGCACCCTGGTTTTCATAGCTGGGAAATGGACACTCTCTCCCCATTCAAATGGTTCCTTCCCCGTAGTTCTTCAAGTGAGCAGTGTCAGAAAAACACATGTCCCCACAATGAAACAGGTGATTCCTAGGTCATGGAGTATGATAATCCCCAACCAATATGAAGGGTAGGCTACCCCGCAAGGACTCGCAAGGACCCATCAACCAATTATCAGGTGTCAAGTATAGCCCCAGAATGTTGACACTTACCCTCTGGTAAACTAACATAGCTATTGAAAATTATCATAGAAATAGTGGATTTACCCATTAATAGCATGGTGATTTTCCAGTTTGCTATGTTAAATTACCAGAGGGTAAAACCCTTGAAATCAATTCTAACATCCCAATCTCTTATCACTCTTACGCACCAGGGTGAGTCTCCGTCTTTGGAAAACATCCATAATTTCGCCATGGAAATCCCGACTTTTGTAAATAAAATCGCACATTTTGATGAGTTAAATCCACATTTTGGTCAAACCACAATTTCTCCTCATGACATCCACCATTTTTCTGAGTTCACAATTTTTCTGTCTGTCAAATCCAGTATTTTCACCCTTTTGGTAGGTAAACATCCCAACTTTTCCAGCACTTTGGGTGGGTAAAACCCCCAAGAAATACATGGCTTTCGTCATCGACGAAGTCGTGGCCTGTTGCTCCGATTCCGCATCCAATGCACTGGTGGCTTCGTCCAGCAGCAGCACCTGGAGTGTACGTAATGAGAAGATATCATGGGCATAATTTGGGAATAGTCATGGTATTATAAGTGGTTAATAACCATGGTTAAGAATGACCATATACTATAGAATCATGGATATAACCATCACATAATATCATGCCTATGGTCTATTACTAGCAATAATTATAGTAATAAGTGGGCATAATAAAAGGTGAATAACCATAGCTATCAACCAACATATACCTTGTTAATAAGTGCATCATAATACGGGAATCGTGGTGAATAGACCATTAAACTTAACTGGGTGGTTAATAAGTGATTATAATGGTGTATGATTATAATGGTGTAATGTATAGTAATATTATATAATGGTGGCTAATTATAGTAATCAGCAATGATGTATATAGTATGTAAGTAATAATATATATTTACTGTAATTAGTCAATAATGGTGTAATGGTACACAGTCATCATATAACTCATTGTAGTATATATATATATTAATCATATCATGGGCATAATATGGGAATAATGATATGGGCATAAGATGGGAGTCATATGGGCAGTAACCCATGAAACTTAATAAGTGGTTAATAACCATACCTAGTTCAGCTATTTATAGATGGGATAAGCCAGGAATTATGGGGTTTTGACCATCGAACATAGGGGTATCACTAACAACCCATGGGAATATCATGGGGACATGGAAAACCTGATTCTCATAGTGGGGGGGTTGTAAGTTGGACAATCCCAACTGATTATCATATCATAGTTATCATGGTCAATTCCATGAGACTCTACCAGCCATTGGAGAGATGGGGATTCGGATTCGACCATGATTCGACCGGCGATCATTGGGAAATGGGGGGGTTGTGAACCAATCCTGACATCCACAACATGGTTGGTACAGTCACCATGAATTTTACCATAATCATAACCAATCTTAGATATCCTGATTCTGCAATAACCAGCACAAAACGGGTGATGTATTAAATACCATGGGATGGTAAAAAACACGACATTCTTGGTGAAATCAGGTCTTAATGGGGTTCTAAACCAACATAAACGAGATATAGACCAGACACGGCTTTCAAAATAACGGGGGCGGGGGTCCGAAATTTGGGACCTTCAAACAGTATCCCTGCACCTGGCTAAGCTACAAATTCGCAAAAATGAAAGTCCAACTTTGATGTCCGCTCCATGGATGGAACCCTGAAATTGACGTCAGGTTCGCCGCTCGTCCAATGAATGCCTGCCTCACTGCCGTCGGAGTCAGCAGATCGGATATGTTCTGCTGTATCGTAGTAAATGTGGTTTATAGTAAAAAATCATTGATTTTATCCACAAAAAACTGCAGGTATGATCAAATCAAGCCACACAGTATACTTCTGTGGCAAGTCCATCGTAGCGTGTTCGTCCATCTTCTCCTTGACAAGGCCGACCGACAGCGAAACCTTCCGGATCTGGACATTGAACGGTCACCACAAGTTGAGATCCTGATGACGAACTTCTGCGCTTGGGTGTTTCTCTAAATTGGGGTCTGTGCAAACCACGGCTTATTCTAAAGTACTAAAAAAGAATAATGTTGATGGGTTTTGGGGTCTCCAATTTAAGAAACCAGCTATATTCCCATTTCATTCCCATATTATGCCAATGATCAAATAGATAAAAATTGATTTTTCCACCAGACATTTCGATTCCACGCATGATTCCATCATATTCATCATTGTTCTATATTATAGGGTGGAGCCTCCAAACGATAGCTAACTTGGTGAACATAACCAGACAAACTTCTTTTAATGGTAGATATAGCAGCCAAATGGGTTCAATAAACAAAACCTAGGCCCCCCTACCTTGCATAAACCATATAATATTCACATGAAATATTGGATAAACCATGTAATATTCATATGACATATCAACCATTTAAGTGGCTATAAATCATTATTGTCCCCTAAATCAGTGATCAGCGATTCGACAGTGAGAACCTGGCCTTTGGCCGCCTGGCAAGCGCCCGTGCAATGGCAATGCGCTGCTTCTGACCTGGATACCCCGGGTTTCCTCAGGAAAGTGTTCATAGATGGTAGATTTTCAATGGGAAATCACCCAAAAAAGGCTTCGGCCAAAACACACCCGACGGAACAATGTGGAGCAAGGCCACAAGGGGCAGGGCTGCCTGCAAATGCGACCATGCGCTTTTCCAGACTTTGTTCATCTTCGTGTGTTCTCGTCTTCATTCAGGGCGTTTTCAAAGGCTGCGTCTAAGTTCTGGAAATATAGCCCCTTCATGACCGTTCTGGGGTACCTCTTCTGCTTCTCGAAGAAGTATTTCCTTTCGAACATCTCCTTGTCCTCTTTGAACATTGGTTTATCTACGTTGAGGCGTTGTCTACCATTTTCCAACTTGGTGATCCAGTTGGTGGAGCAATTTTTCGTGACGGACTTTGTGATCAGTGGCTGGAATCCTGATGAAGTTATCAAGTCGCGAAGAATTGTCACTCTGGTTGGGTTTTCCTGTCTGGTCCAGTGGGAAGCCCTCCGGACATGCAGCATATTGTTTAGTAATCGTAGCTGCTAAGTCCCACAGCTGGGATACACCATTTACAACCGGGTGACAACGGGCGATGTCGATCATGGAGAATGACTGGTGATCATCCCTGGTGATCATGACAAGGAGCGAAACTTATGGTCATCCACCAAAAAGATAGAACAGTGAATCTACATGAAGAAAGAAAAGTGAATCTCCATGAAGATAGTGAAGATTCGCTTTTCCAACATTTCCGCTAGAGTTTAGACGAGTATTATTCCCAATTATGCCTATTCTACAACCGATATGTCATCAGAACCCCCCCAATTATCGATGGGTGCTCCTCAATTCTTCGCTATATACCATGTTGTAGTCCTGATGATATCCCCACCAACTGTTGGTTGGTTATATCCCCAAAAAAGGGTCAGCTGAATCACCGCGTTTCACCAGTGATTTTAGACAAATCCCAAGTATGGATAGTTTATGGTTTAAATCCTCCACAATTATGTATGTATAGATATATATATATGGAATATTCCATCATATCTGGCCGAATTAGACGAATTTACTAACCAGAACAAATGCATCATTACTGCGTGATTTCCCTTGTCAAACATCCAGTGATGTCACAGTGAGGTCATTATAATTAATCCAGACTATACAGGATGGTGCCCCTGCTACAAGTTTGCTTATAAACCCCATGAATACTATAATTAAATGTGCCATAAACCATAGAATTCTCCACTTTTAAGGCAACTGAACGCAACAACGAACGGGACCCCTGTATCCTCATGATATTTCCATTGCTGGTTAGATCCTCGCAAAAGTTGGACGGACCTCCTGAAAGCTGCACACCGCGCTCACCCACCAGGGCATCATAACCTGCACCGAAAAGCCCGCGCGGTGGCAAAGGTTCAGGCGTTCAGGCACCAATCTGGTTGACAATTCAACTCGACCAGATTCTTTCCGCCATGCTTTTGTTTGAGCTATCATCTTACTGTAAAAAAAATGGATCTAATATTTAGGGATGGAACATATACACATAGAGAGCATTTGAAGCCATGGATGATGTCTGGATGATGATCTCGCAGCGTTCAGCAGGTCAAGGATTTTGAACATGAAGAAAAGCTTCTGGCCAGGAGCGACAATCACACTGCCCATTGTGTAGTACTGGTTTCAATTACCAGGTGTTGTGTTGGGGATCTGGATTTGCTGGAAAATCACAAATTGACGATTTTGGATCGCGGAAGTTTCGCCCATGGAAACTTCTGGTGACCAAGAGAACCCCAACTTGTGAGTCCTGGTGTCCGCCACAGCCGACAAACCTCCTTGCAACATTCGAACTTGCCAAGACCTCTTTGTTACCTGACTCCCTTGTGAGCCCACGGTTCTTACTTTTGAGGATCTGGGACCGACTGGGAAACACAGCAATTTATTATAGAGTATAGGAGCAATCTACCAGCCATATGCCAATGTTTTTATTAACCCTTTGCCATGTTTCCTTCTTTCGCAGGTGTCAAACCGGTGGAGATGGGCCAAGAGCAATGCTAGCAGAGCCAGGGTCGGACTGTCGGACTCGGAGACGTTCATTTCAAGCTCCAGCGCCACTTGCCTTCCTTGTTCTGGAACAATGACATGCCCACATTTTGCTGACCCCAGTCACAAACGGAATGTTGGAAGCAACCAGTTGAAGTTCCCATGTCTTGCCAGAAGCCGGATCTGGAAGAGGCTTGATAACCCCACGGCACTCCAAGACAAACTTTCCATTGCCTCATTATTGAAGGCTGTGATTAATAGGTAGTGACCGGGAAAGGATGTGCCATTACACAGTTGATTCATGCACGTGTCAGTGCACAGAGAAAGACTGTGGATCTCAGACGTCTTTGGCTACAAAAATCGGGTTGGCAGGGGGCTTGTGGCTGTCGTCATGTCTTCTTGGGGCCAAACACAAGGTCCCATTTCCAGTGTTGATGGCTATGATCTTCCTCCCTATTTTTATGACGACCATTTAGGTATTGAACCACCCGTAACTCATCAGTTTCCCACTGGCTGTAGCATCACATTCTTGATGGAATCTCATTTTTGTTGGTGAAATCCCAACCCCAGAAGGTTATCGCCTAAAAACATATTTATATGATGTTACAGGATCTATTTCACTAGAATTACCAATAAAGTCCATGAATTACACGGACTCCACCATCATCATCATCATCATCACCATCATCATCATCATCAACCATCCACATATTAAGTGGCGATGTATATATATATATTATAATGATCAATAGTTAGAGATGTTGTATCCCAACCTGTGGTCGTTACCTGGTTATGCCCAATTTATGTCCATTGGTTTTCCGATCAACCCATCCATCTGCCTTGATTCATCCGGCAGATGAAATCATCGGCGTTCGCTTTCCTCGCAAAGTCTCGTATCTCATCCTCGCTCACATTGACGTCACCTGAGATTTTTGGACGTCTTTTTGGGTCGCTGAAATGTTGGGGTATCCCAAGACGGCTTGTATGATTCAAAAGACAATCATTCATGATTTAATTGAAATTCTAGGCATACTAATTCATGGTATTTATGTATTCCAAGACCATGGCTTTTTATCCCAAGACCATCATTCATGGTCTAACCGCTTGCAATTTGCTACCGCGGCGTGCGGCGTGCCGTGGATGTTTTTTGGTGAAAAAGGGATGATGTGGTGGTTCTGTGCCATGGATGTTCCAACTGATGCTGTCATCAAAACATTGATCCCCTTTGTTGACTTTAAAACATTTTCAAGACATTTCAAAACTATGGAGGCTTTTCAAGATCGTACCTGAACTATTGAAGCATTTTTGAGGGTCATGTGGGTGTGTCTGGACATGAACTACACCCAGCAAATTACAGAGAGAACGATGTTCAACACCATCAAAGGCAATCCAAGTTTGAGCTTTTCCCAACATTTTTGTGACAACCCCACTGATGTTCACGTTTTAGATCATGATGAAATATGGTAAATGAACATCATAGAGAATCACCCTGATATGAAGTTCTACTTAAACTATTGAATATCATGCGAATGTCATTGAACTCTGGGCGTTCACGGCTACCCTCTGGTACACTAACATAGCTATTGAAAATGGCCATAGAAATAGTTGATTTACCCATTGAAAAATGATGATTTTCCATAGTTATGTATAGTTATGTTAGTTTACCAGAGGGTAGTGCTCTAACCATGTGACTGTCCATGAAAGAATTGTCGAGATGATGTTCAAACAGGTTGGATTTTGGGGTACCTTCTTGGCCTTGTTGGTCCACCGCGGGGCCACGATGTGCCACGGCACTGGCGGGAATGGCTTTCCCGGCCACCTCCTTGGGATTCGCCAGGCCCAGCAAGATGTTCTCGCGGATGCTGCGGGCGAAGAGGACTGGCTCCTGGAGGGTTTTTTTGATGCCCGGGAAAGGTGCCAAATCCCACCGAAAGAGTGGTTTTAATGGAGGTTTAAGGGTAGTGGATGGAGTTTGTAAGCTAACTTATAGGTGGTTTTCCATAAGTTGGGATCTACATAAGTCCAATAACTGTTGTATTCGTACAAAACAAAACTGGGAGGGCACCACTTTGCCGGGGCAAAAGCAGAACAGGGATGGTGGATATACTATATATATATATACACACTCTCTATATAATATACAACCAACAAGATGATTTGAAGCTTATTTCACATCAAAAAAGGAGCTTCAATTTCACAGATGGCGATTTTAGGGGCCAAAGCCCGCCCATGAGCTGAGCCATGCGATTTTTCATAGGGTTCCAAACATTTGAGACAACCCCATGAACAACACATATCACCCCAAGGCGTTTTTTCTGGATGATTCACTCAGATGCACCAGAAAGAACAGCACCAAACCCAGAACCTTGCTATTTTTGGATGGTTGTTTAGGTGTGTCACAAGGTGCATACCCCTAAATGGCAATTTCAAGAACTCACAATCCGCACCCCACTTATTACTTTCAAGTCTGGTGAAAGTGAGATAGGGGTGATCCCTTCGTTCAGCGATGTCCTACCGGTGAATGTCTTTGTTTATGTTCACCAACTCAGCGATTCCAAACTAGGGCACCAAGGATTGTAGGTTACATCCAGCACCGGTTCCAATCGGCTCTGTTCGCCTGTCCCACGATGGACACAACTTGATGGAAGTGCCAGTGGGAGTACTGCCTCACACGGCTCGGCCCTTTGGAGGAAGGGTTGTTACCGGGGCCTTAACATGGAACCCGACATGGCCCTGCTTTGGCATTTAGCGTTGCAACCCGACATGGCCCTGCTCTGAATGGGGTCCCAAGTGTGGGGATGCCGGTATATCTGAAGACTGCTTGGGTTTAACTGGTGCTAAGGTAGGTCCAATCCCCACCCTGCAGCTGATCCTTACCGAGATGCCAAATGGGAATTCCATCCAGCAGAATCTCACCAGCCTCAGGCAATGGCATTTGATCCGCCAATGGTTGTCATGCCGAAAAAAGATGCAGAATGGCTGACCAGCTTCATTTATAACGAGTTTAGCAGGATTTTACCCACTTCTATCCTTTTTGGCTTGCAAATGTCAGATATATCACGATATATCACTAGCGTCATAGGATTTCACCACATTTTACCATGGTTCACCAGGGTTTTACCACCATTTTACCGCTATTTCCATCCTTTTTGGAGCTAGAACCATATGATATTCCACACCATCGCCCAGCTGCTGAGACATGGTAGAGCCGCTTGATCAAAGAGATGACCTAATGTGAAACAGCGCTGTTTGGCAATGGAGGGGTGGAAGAAATCCTGCACCAGTTGATAGGTAGTTTCTCCCACTATTTAAAGGGTTTCAACCATCCAAGGTGGTGCAGGATTTCTTTCATCCACAGTATCATGGGTATATTATGGTTATACATTATGGTGAGGAATTACTGGCAATATTATGGTATATGATATATTTCTGGGAATGGAATAACACTATATGGGGATAATATACCAGCAAAATGGGAATACAACATCCGAGTTTTCACCAGCAACAAGAGGGGTATAATTATGGAAATTCCAACAAAATAGGGATTGAGCAATCCAAAAAAGGGGTATAAGTGCATAACTGTAAGCAAAATATCACATAGGTATACTACTGGGAATATCATCGAAGGAATACTGGAGGATTCATGTTTCTTTTCACTCATCGAAAAGACAAGGTTTTTTTTACGGTCAAAAAAGGGTATACCATGATATAACCAGATGTTCATGGATTTTGTAGAACTGCAAATGGGGATATCCGGGGATATTCCCAAACAGATTGAATATATATATATATATAGAAAAATAAAACAGGCAAACAATGAGAATACAATATGACATATCGACAATTCTTGGGACCCCAAGCGATTAATGGATCCACTACAATTCAAGTGCTTGAGGGTGTCTCATATTGGAGGGAAGAGATTACCCCGAAATGAGATAGTTCAACACCAAAAGCGACCAACATCTGCGGTTTTGCAGTGGTTTTGCAATGTCTTCAATTACCAAACAATTTTCATCCCAAAACCACAATGAGTGTTCTTGACTTCAACCATCATTATCTCTTCCTGGCACCAACATAAATGCTTGTTGCCAAACAACTACTGTTATAGCAAGGTACATCAACATTTTCTGCCGGTTGAGTTCCACCTTTACAGGGTAGTGCCGAATAGTTAGCTAGTTAGTGTATAATTCCAATAGCTAGGGTTATGCTGGTTATATCTACAGTGGTGATGTGAGTGCACTCTGAGATCCGATCTCACTGAAAGAAAGGAAGCCCCACCGGCTTCAGTCGAACTCCCCGGCCTCTTGGAAGAACTGAGAGTTTCTGGACCTGAAGTCGCCTCCAACGCGGAATTGAACTTCCGGAAAATGCCCTCCAAAATGCCCTCCAAGATGTGGACTTTTGGCCAAACTCACCTTCCACGAACCTTCACGATGTTCGCAGCCATCCTCTTCATGCGATTTCTTCTTCTTCACGAGGTTCGCCATCTCGCGAATTGGCTTCTCCTCTTGTGCCTTCTTGGCTGTTGAAGCTTCAGCTGAGCTGCGCGCAGTGGCGAGTAGCTGGATGCCATAAGCGTTGTTCAAAACGCGACGCGAGAGATGGAGTTGTGGGTGAGGCCAGGGATTTGGAGATTCTTCAACTCCTTCAAGAAAGTAGTATGGAAACCAGTTCGTAAACCCCATGAACTCCAGTAACCGCTCCCAAGGAAACCTGTTAAGTTCCATTAAGCGCCATTAAACCCCATTAAGTTGGTTGAATTTCATCTTTATTTCGCTTGGGTAACTCACCCAAAAACCTGCACCACATCGGATCCAAGTGGCAGTGCTCTTGCCATTGCCTGAAGGGCCAACCAAGGCTACCACTTGGCCTTGGCACCGGGAACTCATGGCACATTTCAGAACAACACGGCAACTAACCAATGAACTATTAATGGTACTGTTATAAACTAGTATAGTTATTAATGAACATCTCATGGTATATTATTATGGTACTATTAATTACTACTATGAATATCTAATGAACTAGTATGGTTATTAATGGTATAGTTCATTAGATACTAGATGAACTAATGATTAGTGGTTACCAGCATTGGCACTATGTTAGTAAATTGATGGTAGATTATATAATAGTAATGTTGACGCCAAATGGTAGATGAACTATAAACCAAATATGGTAGATGAACTATATGTTATTAATATTACCACATACCAATGAATGGTGAATGGTAGACACTATATGGTAACTATGGATAGTATATTGCTATTGATGGCTATTACCAAATACTGTAGAGGACATATAGTTGTAATGATTATACTATGATATACTCATGGTGTATTACTCCCAGTGAATCTTAGATACCTGGCAAAAAATCTATTTGCTCGTTCGTACATCTTACCATTGATAGCAACAGATTAAGGCACTAGTTCGTATCTAACCAAGGTTGACCCAGATATTACCAAATACCATACTATTGATGGTATATTACGATGGTTTTTTGTACTTATCACTTATCAACGGATGGGGGAATCTACAGGAAAACATGGCTTAAGCCATTGCCATGAAATCGAAAGGTTTCCTGCCGATGCTCCCATCATTCTGGGAAGTCGGGGATAACCCAGAAATACCGATACACAATAAACATTATGATTGACAAACATCAGGATGGGAATGGGTGAATAAGCATGGATAGTCAGAACCATGGATTCCTCCATTTTTTTGGGAATGGTCAGAACCATGGATTCCTCCATCAAGAATAAAACCCCCAAAAAAGTAAATGGGAATGGGTCAGAACCATGGATTCCTCCATTTTTAGTACAAAAATAGCCGCTTAAAATGGCTGTCTATCCCATGAATTTTATGTATGTCGTTCAATGGAAAGTGTCCGCATGATGGCTGGTGGCAACCTGTCCCCACGAATGTCAAGTGATACTGACGACTAGCCATCATTTGCCAGCTCACTCATCAAACCACCAATCCAGATACCCTCTGGTAAACTAACATAGCTATTGAAAATGGCCATAGAACCCATTAATAGCATGGTGATTTACCATAGTTTTTTGTATGTTTACCAGAGGGTATCCCTGGTGATCAGTGACCCAAATGTCCATCTTTTGGAGATCACCATCCACCAAAAACATCCCAAGAAACCCAGCGGCTTTCCGAGGCACTGGCAGGGATGTCCAAGTTCAAACCCTCCAAGACCTTCACCTTGATGCTGAGGGAGCATCTTGAAGATTCAGGGTACATCACCATTTTCATCACCAAGATCAGAACCAGATAGATCCCCAAGAAAATAGATAGATCCATATAGATAGATAGATCTGATAGATATATATGCATCTTGAAAATAGATAGATCCCCAACATTTTTTCCGGATCTCCACTATGGGATCAGACCCCCAAAAAAGGGAAGGATTTTTCAATCCGGCTGGCTCCAGGATGGGACCATCACGAATGTCCACTAGAACTCATGGTTTGTCAAAGAATGAATGGATGAACAGTAGATTACCATTATCATTATCATCACCCATTACTTGCTTTTGCTTAGCGGAATTTTAGATTTTTTTTTGACTACTTTTTGTGTAAACATGTTTGCTTTTTTTCTTTGTAAATTTCTAATTTTCTTTTTTCGTTTGCTCTCAGCAAAGTTATTTTCTGCATCAAAACCAGGGACCCCGTAAACCCGCCATTGCGTTTTACTTTGCTGGGTAACTTGGAAACAGCTGTCAATCTGTGATTTCCAGTCGGGAAATGACCATTGAACTCTTAATTTAATGTTTGGAAGCGTTAGGTTCAACCCAGCAGCTATGTCACCAATGTAATTTGTGTTTTTCTCGTGGGTCTCCTTTCTGAAACACGTTTCAAGGCAGAAAAGTTATTAGGGATAGCACATGCGCTATTTTCTTTTCTCGTGGCGTTGGGCTCTGAACTGCTGCAGTTCCTGTCCTTGTCCGCGGATGGCTTTTGGCTGTTCCGGCCAAAGCCACATTCAGCGCCATGCAGTCTTTGGCTGATCCGGCCAAGGCTGCATGCGCTGGGTCTGGCGATGGCAAGTCCAAATGGATGCGGCTGTCAAGCAAATGGACATGGATCCTGCATGCCCAGAGGCTGGGTCATGGTTACAGGCAGCCATGGGGGATTGGCTGCAAAGCTTGAGGATGAACGTGAAAGTTTTCTCGCCCTTGTTTCCAAAACTCGCACTAAATTACTGAAAGCATTTCCGCTGCATGAAGTGCCAGACAGAGTGGAAAATTGCAGAAATGCGTTCTTTTGGATGCGGCAGCACTTGCATGGCACCGGCGTTGCCAAATGTTTGCGGGACCTGGAGATAGCCTTGGACATTTTGACGGCAATCAACTTGACAGACTTAGATGCAGCCCCAGACCGTCGCATTGTCACAGGGTTGCCGCTGCGAATGCAAGGCGTTAAATGCGGTCTCACCAACAATACCAAGCAAGAGTTTCTTCATGCTGAAGAGCTCATGGCACTTTTCGTGCAAGTGAGCCAAGCAGGGGTTCACTTGGACATGGGCACCTGGTTTGATTTTTTTTTCGTGGCAGTGCACGAAGGCCGTGTGGATGTTAATCTTCGCACTGGGGAATTTCATGTGGACTTTGGCAAGTCGAACATCAGCTGCTCCGGCTGAGTTCGGATCGCCAATTCTGGCAGAAGCGTGACAGGCTGCTCCGGCCTGCACGCTTGGAAGTCTTAGTTTTACTTAGGCAGCAATGACGAACGCAACAGGCTGATCCGGCCTGGGCGCTTGGGAGCCTCATTTTTGTATGGTAGCAAATTGTTTGCACAGCGGCGGCCTTGCAGAAGCCAGCTGCTCGTCGAGCTCGAAATCCATGACAGCAAAACAAGATGAAAGACTCTTAGGAGCCTCTCCGCTGCCCCTGACAAGCTCCTAAGGAGAGGGCGATTTGACCTCTCCTTAGGAGCATCGCCGTCGTTGGCGATGCTCCTAAGGAGAGGACGCGGAGAGGACGAAACTGAAATTCCGTTAAGCGATCATGCAAAACATACCATTGTCCTCTCCGTGTCCTCTCCTTAGGAGCATCGCCATCGTTAGCGATGCTCCTAAGGAGAGGACGATTTGACCTCTCCTTAGGAGCTTCCAAATACTCGTTCGTCGTCGCTTTTGGCTCCAGTTGTTTTAGTGGTATTTCTGACCCGGCCGTTCCCTGCCTCGGACACGAGAGCCATTGGCTGCTCCGGCCAAGGCTCTCTCCAAAAACTTCTTGCCCAGGCTTTCGGACGAATGGACATTGAAATGGTCTCAGAAAAAGGACCTCTATGGTAAGAAGCACCTCATCTCTGTGGGAGGCAAAATAGAAGGATGGACGAATATGGACGACAAGCCCAAGGTCAATGACCGTGCGAAGGACGCGCCAGAGCCAGTGTGCTTCTTCAGCCCTCCCATTGAGCTGATGGAAGAGCTGTTGCACACATTCTTTGGAAGATGGATGTGGATCTGAGGGCAGCAGATGGCAAACTAGCTTTTGCTTGTTTGCAGAACAGAGTGGCCTACCTTGGTGTCACCTACAACGAGGTCCACAGCAAGCTGTTGGAGGGACTTGACCTGATGCAAACCAGCATGGCATACCCGTCGAGCCCTTTGTTCAACAACAACTATGCGCAAGCCATCGGCGTCGTGACCCACACTCCGACTCCGAAGCCGAAGCCAGGCCCAAAAGCAAAGACAGAAACCAAAAAAAGGAAAGCAAATGCGTCTGGGAAACCGAAGCCCAAGCCGAAAGCCAAGGCGACTGAGGAGCCTCCGCCTAAAAAAATAAAAACAAACCAGGATGGCAATGGCGATGACAACAATGAAGGAGACGAAGAGGAGGATGACGTTTGGGACCCGCTGGTTGCCGCCTAGCTTGTACGACTTGTATGTGTGACAGGAACTAGCTGCTCCGGCTAGTCCTGTTCATGCACTGGCAAAGCAAGTCGAAAATTTTGAAATTTCGATAGCTCAGCAAGCAGACGGCAGGTCTGGCTGCTCCGGCCGTCCTGCCACATGCAATGTGCTGGCATTTTTGGGACGTTAGGGATCAGATTTAGCTGCTCTGCCTAAAATGAAACGCGTGCAGCCTCAATGGTTCCAATGCTTCAAGATTCAGAAACTTATTTCCTTTCCTCGTTCCCCGAAGGAACATTTCTCGTTGAAACCATGCAAAGTTATTTTGGTGTTTTTTCCGTACATGGATTTACCGGTTGCATCCCACCTTGCAAGTTTCGTCTGAAGCTTCTTTGTTTATCAGGTCAGCAAACGAAGTCTAATGGGATTGAAACGTCATTTCTTATAGGAGATATATGATGGTTCGGCATGCGTCTGCACAGTGGTAGGAAACAGGTTTCTATTACACATGGTTTTCTCGTTTACTTCTTTCAAAGTTATTTTTGATTCTCGTTTTTAGCTGCCCCTGCCACTCCCCTGACTTTGAAGAAAAACAAGGCCCAAAAAAATTCTAAAATTCCGCTAAGCAAAAGTAAGATTATCATTGTATCATGGTTAAGTAATGATTTACCATGATACAACTGTTTAATATTAATCTTTATCATTATATCATGTTCACCTATTCAATCCTTTGTTGCCCCCATAAGTTGAAGGCGATTCAATCACCCAGCTACCAGATTTACCATCATTTA